TCTGTTTGCTAGCCAAGGGTTCATTAAGGTCATTTGGTCTGATATCGGGGTCCAGAGTCCTGGAAAACTGGAATTCATATGAGGTCCGCCATGTTGTGGTAAATTGCGGGACAGGGTAGATATTGAAGACAGCGTGGAACTGGGTAGTGGCCAAGGAGATTGGCCAAAGTGTAATAATTCCGGGTGAAGGGTCCCCACAGTGTCTCCTGCTAATAATAAATTTCGGATATGGAGAGGAACAGCTGGATGTAAAGGTGGAATTCTGCCATTAATGGCGAAAAGTTCGCTCCGAGATCCCGAACTCGGTCGTAGATATTCGGCTTCATTCCGAGATTCGGTTGAGTTTCCCCTCAAGGAATCACTTTTATTTGTATTGATAATTGAATCAATTGAAAATCCATTTGAAGTCTGTTTAGATATTGGCAACATTTGCAATTTTAAAATTTCAAAATATGTAAATTTCCTGTATTGTTCTTCGATAACTTTTCCTTCAGAATATTGTTGTCATTGCTACAATAAAAGAAAGCTATCGACAAATCATTATTACGAAGTTTCACTTCAAATTTATGGAGTCGAACTAAACTAAAATTAATTGTTTCAAGAGTATGGTAAATAATAGTAAACCACTGAGCTTTCGGTGCATTTGCAATTTTCGCCTTTTGGAAACCATTTAAAGGTGACAAGGGGTGTAATTCCGTCATCTTGCTTTTTCTGCTTTTTCAAAAGGCATTCAATGGGTCGTTAAATTGTGGACAGTGATTGGAGGATTTATCACTTACGTGTCTATCCGGGTCACTGCGCTACCTGCCGTCAGATGGCGGGTCACCAAATCACATTAAACTCTCGATCAAAAATAAAAACATCAATATTTCTCACAATATTTCATTCTGCTCAATGAAAATCATATTTAATGGCAAATCCGACTGAAAGGATTAGCCAGCAGTAACTCACGTGTTTTTGTGCGGAGCGATATGGAGATTTGTTTAAGGGAATTACCCTTTGAATTAAAATGTAAATTGACAGGATACTCGGTCCCTCTATCAAAGAATAAACACAGAGAAAAGAAAACAACATTCTAATTAAACTGAAATTATAATTTTATTTTGAGAGCAATGTTACTGAACTCCTAGAGGCACTAAGAGGTAACACAGTTTTCTTTTTACTTTGTAATCATGCAAAACTGTATTTTTAAGAGGATTTTTTTTCAAATGTTTAACATTTAAAAAAATGAACATAACATTTGGATAAAACCACTGCAATTCAGTAAATTGTAAAATGAAAGTTAACGTAAACACTGCTGAGCTATATTGATGGAGGCATTGTGTTCTAGAATACCGTGACTTTTATCGTTAATTCCCAAACGGTTATTGGGAACGCCCCCCTGTCCAGCAGACTCGACTGATTTCTGGACATCATACACAGGACATCTTTGATCACTGACCATCCTCTTACGGGTTGTAGGTATGGAAACCATTATCTAATAATAAAACAACTGGGAAACACATATAAAGAAAATTCAAATTAGCCATATCTCTTTATTGCTAGAATGTGATGTGTACTGTATCAAGAGATAGTTATTACCAAGCAAGGCATGAACAAAGTACAAGCTAATTGCAGCCGTAATTCTATTGATGAAGAAAAAAAAATATCATGTGAAGATCAAGTTTTGCCATTTTATTTATTAATTAATCACTAAACATGTGGAGCCGCTGACCCTTTTTCCAGTGTAAGACAAACTCTTCAGCCTATCTTTTGAGAGGATCGAAAAAGAGGGATTATCTGTTGAATGCGTAAAATTACCAGGATTGTCACTTAAATCTTATGGGGAAAAAACACTTAATGTAAGAAGTAAAAATGACGTAAAATTTAATTTTGTTGTCTTTTTCAAATAAAGTGCTTTTTTATATCTTTGATTGTCACCTTGTACTATACGCCACAATACATGTACTTTGTTATTGCATATGAAGAGGAATAGAAAATATATGATAATGAACTTGATGTAAACCATATAAATCGTATCTAATAAAAGGAAATCTAAGAAAACACTGTCACTACCATATCTCACAGGTAAAGATGAAACTCATTGCAGTGAAGTGGTCAAAAAACTATATTAACATATTCTTTTATGGTTTGTTTTATTGCAAGTTTTGACTTTAATCAAATTTAATATACATAACATGATATGTATTAATTTTTGGAATGCGATAGAGCAGAAAATGCATTGCTAATATTTTCTTCTTGACTGGATGTTCTCAGGCATTCTTTTATGATTCTCATTTGAAAATATATACATGTTTATACGTATGAATCTCACATGAAGTCATGTGAGAGTCGTATGGTACACAAAGATCATATGTGGCACTTTTCCCTATGAATATGAAATCATATTAATGTTCAAAAAATAACAACTGATCTTTTTAAGGTATAACGACACGTTCCTCGATTATCTGTTTTTATATCTCTTTGTAAAAAATCTATAACAAAAATATTTCTAATCATTATTGTCTTGTGATTTCTAAGCTATTTCCAAAATGTTCTACAAATTGCTAAAAAGGTACGTAACTTTCTGAAAAAGTGCATGCTTTGATATTAGAAAAGAAAAACTCCAACATAATATGCTCACTGGGAGTTTTATGTATGTTGTTTATTTTGTTGTTGTTGTTGTATTCATGACTATATTCCAATGTATGATGGTGTTGCCAATAAACTAAAACGGAAAAAATAGATATATCAAAAACTGTCAAATAAGCAATCCAAGTGATTTCCAAGAGGAATACATGGGAAACACCATCCTCTGGTATCGTGCACAAATACCTGGTAACGTACCTTAATTTTTCTTTTTTTTTTTAGGAAACTTGTTTAAGTAGGAATACTTCAAGCATCAATTCTTGGGAAAAATCATACATTTTTGAGGAACGTATCCTTTAACCTTAAAGCAGTATTCGTTTTTTTTTTTTTTTTTTTTTGGTTTTTGTTTGTTTGTTTGTTTGTTGTTGTTTTTTTTTTTGGTTTGTGTGTGTGTGTGTGTGTGTATGCGAATCTATAACTTAAAGCATTTGGTATCTGTAATATTATTTCAAAAGAAAATGATTTTATAATTGTAGATTTCAGAAAGAAATGATTTTGAAATAATGCGTTGGTTTTTCACAGCAAACCTATAACTCAAAGCATTTAGTACATATTATTTCACAAGAAAATGATTTGATAATGATATGTTTTTAAGATAATTCGTTGGTTTGGCGCATCGTGTGTGATATTCTGGCACGTTAACGGACAAAATTATTTTAATTGCCAAATTAACATTTCAATATTTCAACGAATCTTGCGTGAATCTTTTAACTCTGCAAATAATTCAGTGTTGATTATTCTAAATTGAAATTCAATCACACAAGAGAGGTATTCAATGAAAATGTTTTAAATGAAATTGGTGGCAAACCCTGTAGTTTTTTTTTTTTTTTACGTGACTTGACTGGTGTGTTTCTTATCTCTACCAGTACCCGATCCTCTCCGATAAGGGCTGATTTCTCGGGTTTTCATCTGTCTTCAAACCTTAAGTAAACGATCTTTTACGTGTCCCTACAAAAGAGTATTTTTTATTCTAATGACAAGCCCCCTTTTTAAATATCTTTACGTTTTTAATTGAAAATATAGATACACTTCGCTAGTACTAGTGATTGTAGCTCTGTCATACAACAATTGTAAGTGTCATGACTAGTTACTTGACAAATTGCCCTTAGAAAAAAAAGCATTGATCTTTTTGTAGGGAAGCTGTTTCCTCACATAACCCCAGAAATAGTTTAACACCAAACTTGAAATAATACTCTACAGAAAACTATGAAAGTGAGTTGGTCTGCAATTTTGGTTATTTTGATGTGATACAAGTAAAATATAAGGTAAAGGTTGAGTTTCGTTTACAAATTAAGTTCACAAGAAAGTTCTCACTAATAAACACGAACATATCAGAAATCAAAGAATTCATTAATATTCATTATCTAAACATCACCAATATCCACTCGAACACCCTTTAAAATAAAGGGTGGACGAATAGCATGAAACCTGTTTTTAATCTACTCATGTCTAAGTTTTTTTTTCAATAAAGGATACTGTCCTTATGCTCACATTGCTTTACTTCCATAAATGACAACTAGGTTAACCATACTGCATTTTAATTCATTAACCCCCCCCCCCCCCCCAAGATCTGAAGTTTTTAAATTTTACAAGTTACAACACCAGCATAATTTTTGTCAAGATCGAAAATACACTTGAATACTTGCTATTTTTCCCTGTCGAAATACTAATATTGACAAGTTCATTTAAATTGCATCCTTTAGACATGTATAACATGTTTTGCATTAAAATAAACTGCTAAGAAGACAGTTCTAAAGAATTCTACCATATACTATGAAATAAAATTATAATTCCCCGCCTACCATATACACAGTTTGGTAACAATAGTGGAAATTATTTCGCAATATCAATTTTTGAGAATTAATTGTACATTTTTAAAGACAGATTTCTCTTTGTGCTTTGGGCATCAATTTTATACTCACAGTTTAATAGTTAATATGCTGTCACATATATCCTTGAATAGAAGAAACAGTGTATGATGATTGTAAACAGAAGTATTTTTCATAAAGAACATCGCTCATCAAGTAGCGGGACTCGTTTTACAAAAGAACTTAAGACTAAGACAAAAACTTAATTAGATTGTAAAGTCTTGCAAAATTAATATGTCTGTTGAAAATATATCTTTCAAAATTATTTGAAAAAAATTACTCTGATTTTCAATTATTATAGAGAAAAAAGTTATTCGCAAAATTATATTTTGGTCTTAGTCCTAAGTTCTTTAGTAAAACTGAGCCCTGGCTCTCAAGGAATACATGTATCTCGAGACCAAGTTTTATTGTAGTTTTATTGTATATAAAAGTGTAATTTCTTGTGTTGAAAAAAGAATTTAGCAATTGTATAACCTGCTTACAAAAACAACAACTACAAAAACAATATGTACATACCATATGCACATTTAATAAATAAATCTGTAATAATTGCGTCAAAACACGTTTACATAACATATAAAAATATATATAATACAAATATATTTCATCCAATTAAATATATACTTTTTATTCCAATATACATTAAAATATTCATATTACACGTACTATATCAAATAAGTTGATATCAAATTGCAGAAGTTAGGAATATCCGAGAAACTGTTACGGTGACTGGTCCTGTCATCAAGCCTAGAGACCTTTGTTATATATTAATGTTGTCTCATTCGTCAGCTTTTGGATCTCTGGTTCCAAGCTACTGGTAGAAATCTAGAATTCATTTGTGGCATGAGAAATCTGTCAATTTATTGCAAATTAATACTACAATGTTTTAGAAACTGTATAATTATCATTCATTCGATGACTGAGATGTTTCGTAGAATTTCGTCTGAGTAGTTTGATGACAAAATTTGAAACTTTAGATTCATGCTCTTTCTTTATAGATGATAAACTGTAATCAGACGTATTGGGCAGAATCGTGGCATATTGCAGTAAAGAAGTTTCTTTCCAAACTTTCCAAATTACTTGCATGTTATATCAACAAATAACATCAATAATCACCAAATACCAAACAAAAACGAAATCATATGACAATACATTGTTCTTAATTGAATAATTTTGTCTCTCTAATTAATTGCAAAAGTATATATATCGTGTACAAAGACCCATTAATTAGATCTCTCCACCCAACAATTAAGCGTCCTAGAACTTCAGACCAATTACACGTTCATCACGTGCAAACCACGGAGGATAAATAACAATTAGTGGTAGAAGTACACCACATTACGCCGGGTTTTTGCTTATTCGTCTCTGTACCTCGGTCCAAATTGAGAATCATTCTGCCAAAAGCAACAACTAACGAGCATCTCAAGAAAACAATGATTTACAATCGCCATGGAACGGGGCGACAGACGACGAACAATAATAGAGTTCAAACCGAGACAATTGTATTCCTTTCATATTTCTTCTGCTTCATCCAATCTTTGACACACATCAAGCTCTAGCTAATTTGCCAATTACAAAACGCTTAATAAATCATAATCACTTCTTAGGGGGGCGATTGGTTCCAGCAGATGTTGACCGTCTTGGTGTTTCAACTGAAGCGTATGATAAGACGAACCCTATCTACAGTCGGGCACGGAGTTTTACGAGGGACGACCCAGCAATATTGCTAATTGTTTATCCATCGCCCAACGGTAGGCCTCATTATACCGATTGGAAGAGACAGTTATAGTTTCAGCGAGTAAATTGGCTCCTTCAAAGGTGTCAGAAGTTTGTCTTTCTTAATCAAAAGTGAAATGATCTTGTCTTTATCTGATGAAAATACACATGTTTCTTCGTAAATGTTTGTCTCTTGCACTTGTGAAAACATAGTTAACAGCCTGATAAGCTATTTAGCTGTCAATTTTATGTAGGTTAAATTTAGTATCTCTACAGGCTTAAAGTCAACCATATATGTTATCATCTCATGTTGTTATTTTTGTCATCAATCTTCAAATTCTTGTTTTTATCTTATCTAGACAATAATCCACAATTTGTCTAAAGATTAATGAATAATTTTCCAAGAATAGTTCTCTCTGCATTCCGAAGATAATTTTCACAATGTTTCTCTTTCCCGGAAATTTTATTTTATCAAATGATTTATTATTTAATTTTTTGTAAGGCAAGTAACCTGCAGTGAATCACCCAAGTAGGCTAGCATTAAAATCAAATTTATGACTACTTATATTCAAATATTGCAAAGCCATGTTTATACAAGTCGGAAACGTAAGTCTTTTCATTCAAACTTTATACTTACTTATTTAAAATGTTTCTATTATGAAATATTTCATTTTAACAGTAGAAAAAAAAAACTTTTGAATACGTTTTGAGCTTTAATCAGAGATTGAAACATAAAACTTTTTTTCTATAAGGTTTCCTACTTTCAAGAAATGGATGAGCATTTTAGTACAAGAAGTTATAAGATATCGATCGCACACATATTGTATTACATATTACATGTACATTAATTCTATACAGAGCGACGTACATGTAAAAGAAGACAATTCCGATTGTGGTATTCAGCGTAAATTCCAGCAAAATTCAAAATTTTGATAATTTTTTTTTAATCAAGGTCACGTGCAAGATCTTAATAACACAATTTATGCAAGTTTGGGTGAGTACAAACATCACATCTCATGAGCAAACTTTCACAACCTGTGTTACACCACAACAAACGTGCAATATATGAAGGCCAAATGCAGAACTTGGAGCATGATTCTAATGTAAATCTATTCAATTCCTCATCACTGGTTAACATAATATACATTTTGTAGTTAGTCAAGAAAGAAAATTAGCATTGTATCTACAAAAAATCAACTTGCTTTGTAATCCGAGGTAAAACTGATAGTATACTTCAATGCAAATTTGAGTGAACAGGATTTATATTTTAACTGGTTGGGAATGAAACTATCCCCCAAAACTATATACACTTATGTTGAAGGAATACTTTTACTATTATGTTGTAAATTTTGCATTATGTTGTAAATTTACTTTTGTCTCCAAATAAATTTAAAACATGATGATATCCCCACTTTCCCTGACTTATGGAACTAAGCCAAACCAACTGTACCTTAGAATACTGAGGGAAAATTGCTATAGCAACAGGAAGAGCAAGACCAAAACAAATGGTCACAACTGCAGCATGGACTGGCAAGTTAATACGAGGATATTTTTTGAATAACGTCGTCCTGTAAAACAAGAAAACTCTTTTATACGTGTACTCTTCATATTAAAAGATCCACAACAGTCAAAGAGGGGCAACTCCTAACCAATGCATAAAACTGTATTTCATTTCTCCAATGCTAATGTTTTCTTCATTTTCACCAAACAAGGGGGAATTCAACATAAATCACAAATACATAGAATAATCAACAAATGCATTTACATTTGTAGAGATATTAACATGATTTGTAAACTTACTTTTCAAGCACAGACATAATGATAGGAGGTATCACAAGTATTGGGGCAGGAAGGAACATTCGAGTAATTGCTGTCTCCATTAATGCCTTAGATAAGAAAAATACCCATGATTAAAATCCACATAAAACCTACCAGGTGTGTTTTCTTTCAGGAATCAAGAAAGAATGAGTTACCTTTTCAGCAGCTATTTTGGACTTTCCAATTACGTTTCCATTATGATCTTCTACTTGTATGCCCGTAGACAGCTCAGAGTTCCTCATCAACAGTAAATTGCAGGTGCTAGCGCAAGCTTGTGGGTTCATAAGAAAAGTTCATTTTTAAAAAAAAAATATCAGAAATATACGATCTTTAAAAATTCGTTCAAATTTTCGTATGTAACTGTGGTACATAGATTTACATACCTACTGCTGGAAAAGGTACAAATTTCTGAATCAGAAGTTTTGTAGCTGGGTTAAATCTATTTGCCTTCTGAATCAATACATTCAAACCTACCTGGAAAATAAAAAATAAACATTTTCGTGAAGAAAATTCAGTTCTGTTAATACTTTTTTTCACTTGAAATTTTGAAATAAAGATGTTCTTAAAAATAGAGTAATTTCTGAAAACAACGATCTTAAATGTTTGAATATCGTTTAAAAGTATAATTAATTTTTTTAGCACAAGTCATACAAGCTTTAGGTGTACATGTAATACTAACAGCGATTGACACAGCCGTGGTTACTGCCCCTGCGTATCCTAGAAGAAACCGACTCATTGGTGTAGGCTGGAAGAGAATGGACTTGGTTAATGTGTTCGTCATTGAGGCTGTCTTTATTTCATTTTTCTTACAAAATGTAATGATATCTTGATTTTACAACTTGTGACATTATAAAACCCAATGTAACATAAGGGCTTCAACCGGATACATAATGCTGGCAAAATTCTCCAAGACAAAAAATCGAGGAGACTTTAAATGAAGTGATTATACATCTACGACATCAATCGTGGTACATCTACGGCTGTATATTATGTATTTTAAAATGCACATGCTGGCCTACATTCCTCTTTACTAAGAAATAACATTTTGAAATTGAAAATCCTGCTATATCTAGACATGCCGATTTTAACAAGAGACCCATGGGCCACACCGCTTACCTGAGTAACTCATTAGATAATAAAAAGTTTTTTCTCCTTTGTATTCCCAAGAAAAATGGTGATTCCATATTATGGCCTCAACCTAACTCTAATAAGTTTGAAAATTAATGGTTCCGTTGTGGTTCTTGATAAGGTCTTTGTTATTTTGTCTTGTGACACCAACTTATCTTCTGGGTCATTATTTGAACAATTAAGAATATTAATTACGTTGATCCCCTAACATGAACCCGCCCTATCTTTGAACAATTAAGAATTTATATTATGTCAAGAAGCTTTTGCATAATTTTTTTTTGGTCTAGTTGTACTTGAAAAGATTTTCAAAGATTTGTTTCACTATACTCCAAAGTAAAACTTTGATCCCCTATTCTGGCCCTACCATATCATTGGGGGAGTGGGCATTATTTTGAACAATTTAGAATCTTATACTCAGTTTATATAAGGAAGCTTTCACTTAAGTTTCATTCCTTTAGTTCAACTCTATTGGTTCTTCAAAAGACTTTGAAAGAATTTTCCTATTTCAACATTCCAATGTAAAACTCTTGATCCCCTCTTATATCTCCTACCTACCCCCCGGGGGGGGGATGATTTGACCAATAGACTTGACACAGTGTCATGAGGCTTATATTTCAGTTTCATCAGTTGTTGAGAAGATTTTTAAAGAGTTTTTCCTATTCATTACAATGTAAAACTTGACCCCCTATTTTGACCCCACACTACCCCATAGGCCTTAATTTGAACAATTTCGAATCTACACTACCTCAGGAATTTTCCACTTATGTTTCAATTATTCTGAATCAGTGGATTTTGACGAGATTTTTTAACGTCACCAACCTATTTTTTTAATTATTATTATTTTCCCCCCAAAGAGGACTTGGTCCTTCATTTGAATAATTTAGAAACTCCTTTACTCAAAATTGCTTTGAGCCAACTTTGGTTAAAATTTGCCCAATGTGTTTCAAGAAAAAGTAAAAAAAGTCACCAAAAATTTCACAGTTGGACAGACATCTAAACAGCTGGACACAGGATGAGTGATCAGAAAAGCCCACTTCAGTTTTTAGCTCAGGTAAGCTAAAAATTGATTGATTGTTGTTTTATTTCACGTTCGAGAATTTTTCACCCATACAAAGAAGTCACCATATACCGGCGAAGGGCTTCAAATTTAGACCTTTACTCGCACTCAGGGCCAGTGAGCAGTGAAGGCTCTTTATTGTGCCAACGCCTACCATGATACGGGGCCTCAGTTTTTAAGGTCTCATCCGAAGGACCAGCAACTTTCACTTCAAAGTACAGAGCGCTTGGCAAAGGAACAGTTACTGCCTATTTTTTATCGACTCAGGTCAGTCGCGGCCGTGATTCGAACACATTACCTTCCGATCACGGAGCGACCGCTGCTAAAATTGATTCAATTGATATTGATATTCAATAGTTTAATGCATTTATGTATGTGTGAATTAAAAAATAGTGACTGGCAAATTTGAATTTTTTTGAAAAATTTAACTTACCATAACACATTTTTTTCATTTAAAGGATCATACTGTACATACGTTCTAGTTAATATTTCTGAATTTGCAATATAATAGACAAATGCATAAAAGAGTTGCAGAACTTTTATTAGTAGAACTTTAATTGAAAAATTAAAAAAAATATAATTACTATATCCTAAAAGATTTAATTTCTAAAATACACAGTCAAAATAAAAATAATCCTTCAAAATTGTGTCAGGGATATAAGTGATTAGATCTAAAACTTGATCATTTCTCTTGTATATGTAAAAGAATTTTTTTTATTGTTATTTTACATTGTTTTAACCCTGGTTTGAAAACTTTTAATTTGAAAGAAATGTGATACAATAAATATCCCAAAAGCTACTTCAAAATTCAAAATTAAGCCTATAGAACACAAAATTCATAAAGTGTTGGCAATATCAAGTTGTAACAAAATTGTGCAAATTGTACAGTCCAAAACTTCATGGTTAAAACACATAAAAGTATTTAAACTTTGCTATATATCTTAGAGTATACCCAATTAATGTAAAAAAAAAAGAAGAAGAGAAAAACCTAGCCAAAAATATATTTAGAAGATAAAATTATATTTTATAGGACATTTTACTTTATATGACACCTTGTAAGCAATCGCGGTCAGCCAGAAACATTCTACTCATAATTTTTTTCTTTATATTTTTATTCATAATTGATAAGCAATAATTCTTTCATTTTCATTGCACTCCTGACCAAGAGCAAGTGAGTCTTTAAAGTAGAATTGAGAAGCATAAATTACATCAGGAAGTGTTCTGTTGTTTAAATGAAGCTGTGGTGGAATTACTTGAATTTTATAAAAAAAAATTTCAGTGTGGGTTTATTTTTTTACAGTCATAAAAAAATTAAAAGTAAAATTACATCTGGACTGATAAAATTGAAAGAGACAGATTTTGATCATAAAACTGTCAATAACGTAGAACCAACTTATCCAAATAGATCATTATTGATCAAAGAATACTTATTACGAGTAGTATGAATAATAGCTTTTCATCATTCAACTTTGATCTTTGAAAAAAATGTGTTGCACTTCTGACCATAGAAATATGGATGAAATATATGGAGATAACGAACAGTATTCAAGCTCAAAAGTCCATTATACAATACAAAATAGGAGCAGAGCAAACACGGACCTCCAAACATCAGAGGTGAGATCAGGTGCCATGGAGGAGTGAGCATCCCCTGCCGATCGGTCACACCCGCCGTGTGCTCCTTGTCATGATTGGGAAATAAGGGAAAATCCGTCGACAATTCAGCGTGTAAATAATGGCCTAACAATTGGTATGAAAAACGTCAGTCAGCATTTGACTCAATGATAAATTGTATTTGCTGACATGGTCATTGTATCGACCATAGAACTTACGAAATGATGACTTTAGACGAGACAGCTGATATTCTTGTTTCATCAACTTATTTGTCAATAATTTACCTCGTTTTAGAAATTGTACATACGTAGAGCATGCGCTTGCGTATCGAATCAACTAAGAGATATATACCCCGTATGCAGGTGATGAAGGTGTATTGCTGCATAAGTAAGGGAAGTTGACGATTGAAAAGTTAAAGTCATCACGTTTATAATAAAGCTTGGTTGTTAGATTACCATTAACGTCTTTTTCAAGTAAAATATCCAAATATGAAACAGATGTGTCGGACTCTGTCGTATCTTTTATCTCAAGTTCACCAGGATATATCGTATAGACATAAGAATGGAAATAGCCATTGTTAATTGACAATACGTCGTCGATATATCTAAATGTCGAGTTGAACGCCACAGCAAGTGATTTCTTCTTTTCACATACAAGTTTTTGGACAAATTCTGCTTCATATGAATACAAAAAAAGGTCTGATAATAACGGGGCGCAATTGGTACCCATAGAAATTCCAATAGATTGTTGGAAGACCTGGTCTCCAAAAACCACATAGATATTGTCAATCAGAAACTCAAGCATCTTTTTAATGTCAACTTCAGAGTACTTGTGTAATCAGAATGTTTTTTAACAAAATAATTTTGCAAATGACCAATGACAAGGTAAGTATATTTACGAGTTCCATTTTTATTGAAAAAGCAGCTGTCAATGATATCAAAAAGCCTGGACACAGACAGACCCTGTAATTGATAAATCTATTTGGTAAAAATGTTCTTTGTATCTTTATTTTCCAAAATAAAAATCAGAGAATCATATACTGATAAAAGTTTTTCCATGTTGGAGAGCAAAACATCAAATGTTGCACACTTGACATTATTGGGTATGCTCAGATACTTGATTCTCATTAATACTGCTTGTGATTCATATAACATTTTCAACTTTTAAGTGGTATATCATTTATTGTTTTATGTTTTAAAAAATTCTTTTTCAACTTAATTGTCATAGAGATTTTTATAATCAATGTTTTTCTGCAACACTACATTTTTCCTGTAGCACTCCTTACATGGTATAACATTTTTGTCAGCATCAGTCATGACCACAACTTCGTCAAACAAAAGTTGCTACAGCTCAGTATATTGAATATTATCATGAAAGTCTTTATTTTCCACATTAACCATTACTGTTAATTTCACAGATCTTTATAAAATATTAAATTTTCAAAATGTCATTTTAGCATAATATTTGGGCAGAACTTTTTTTTTACTTGAGATATCAATGAGAAATTTGGCATTTTTTAAAGACAATATCAAAACACATATGCTGAGTCATAGCAATTTATTCACATTGCCTGTATTTTTAGTGCAGGTTGATAAATATGAGTCCAGTAATTTTTTTTTCAAAATTCACCCATATGAGTTGGTGATACTACACACAATAAATCATGCTTTGCATTTTGTACATATGTACAGAAATACAGGAACTGTTAAAAAGGTAATCTAAGTTTATGACATTGGTTTTCTTGGTTGGTTAAAGAAAAAAGAGGAACAAGCAAAACACTATACAAAGAGACCCATACCACTTGTGATAGACATACATCTGCAACAGATATTTTTGACACTAATATGCAAAGCATACATATATATTATGATCAGACCAGAGTCGGAATAAGTTATTTTTCACAATTTAAATGAAACGTACATTAAAAAGTTACACAATAAGACTATATGAAATAAATCTGACATGTTTATTTCATGTTTGTATGGTGATGAAAATTTGCATACATAAACAAATATATACAGTGTATATAAAACAATTCTGCAAATATGAGTGGATAAAAATAATTAATTTAATTGTTGATAGGTTACTTACTGAGGTAGCATTTCTGTTGGCGTAGTTTACACATGCATTATGGCTTTGATTTATCCACTGCCAAAATATGGTGCTGGCAATAGTTTGATTTGGTAATAACAGTCCAACAACCTGTTAATAAAACATTTTAAGCAAATGAAGATAAAATTATGTAAAACAAATCTCAATATATAAAATTTGAAAATCAATTTAAACTCATTTTAAAAAATAACTTACAACAGGAGATCCAAAAGGCACAAATCCTGAAATACACAATAATATATAAATATATATATATATATATATTTTAATCAGACAATTTGTTGTGGTTTTCTATGTAAGGTCATGTTAGATTTAAAGTAGACCATGCAGATTTAAATTCCTGATGCATGTGAACTAGTGCTTACAAAATCCTTAAAAATGAAATATATTATGGAACAGTTTTCAAAATACAGTGTATAGAATATTTTTCATTCATCTCTCTTATTAATGTAGATTTTATGCACTTTTAAGTTTGTCTGATCCTCAGGTTCCAAAAATCAGCAGTTTGGTAATTTAGGAATGACTATAATTCTTGGCCAAATTATTGGAGTATAACCTGGTTTGGGTCAGTTTACACTTTATTATCCACGAAGCGGATAAACTGACCCAAACCAGGTTATACTCAAATAATCTGGCCAAGAATTAGAGTCATTCCTTATAATTTAATTTTAAATTCATTAAATAATTATGGGTGTAAAATTTTGTTGATTTTTATTAGTTCAAATTTGCCACTCTATAATACAACCTTAGTAACAGAAGTGATGGGAAGCAAGGGGAGGTAAAAACTGATACATAGGCCTAGCAGCCATGTTGTCTGTTTACATGTGATAAGATCGAATTATTGTTTGAAGTTAAAGGTACATTTATTAAATCTGGAATTTTCCATGAATCCCCAGGACTGCAAATGAGAGGATTGTATGGATACAGATGATTCAGCTGGGGGGGGGGGGGGGTTCCATACCAAACCAGGTTATACAGAAATAATTTGTGTTCCTTTTGGATATTAACCAATCACAGGCTAGAATACAAACAAAATTAAATTATTTGAAAATACTGACAAAAATGTCTCTGAATTCAGTAATATGTATTTACCGATGGTATTTCTTCAGAGTTCGATCATCATTATAGTTATAATCATATTATACAGAGAAAATTATCAAATCTCAAATATATTTTAAGGAAACATGAATAAAGTCACCAGCTATGCATTTTCAAATTGAAAATTGGTCAATAAATATATTTTAGGACAATAAACTATAGGTATCCAGGCTTTTGGAGAATGTGTTCATACTTGTATGGTATTTTCGTTCTTTTTACTTCAATTGTTATATAATAATATAATGTAAAAAGCTTGTGCTTTCATTGCAAGACATCACAGATCACTCCTTATTTCATATCATGCTAATCAGCATTGGATTTCTGAGGCAAGATTAAAGGAAATTCAATTTCTCAAAAAATGTATTTATTTTTGTACTTTTATGGGGTACAAATGTCAATTTTGTACAAGACCATTTCTAAGACTTTAAAGAACCTTGAGTCATATTGACATTGATAACATGAAAATTGTTGCATGAAAAGATTTCAATTTCAATCTTCATTTATAGACGTTTTAAATAAATTGATAATTTTAAGAGTTATCGTTCATAGCTGAGGATAGGATATCCTTAAATTATATGCATTTCTGGGCTGCGTTCAAGATCGTAGTGGCTAACCTAGCAGCGAGGCTGTAGATATCTATCTCTATTGAACGCACAGCTAACCTAGCCACTAAGTGTTAAATTTTGAATATGAATATATCAGTATAAACTTATTTTTGGAGCAAAAAAGTTTATTTCAAGCGAAAATATATATGTAAATATACATTTAATATGCTAAGATGTACAAAATAATTCCCCATTTACTTAAAATCATATGTGCTGCAAAGTTGTAACTAAGTAGGCCATCTTGGATTTGGTACTTAGCATTAATTTATGCTAGCTCTCCCTACGTAGCAGCTAGGCTAGCTCTTCGTTCAAGAACGTAGCTTTATGTAGAATGCTTTGTAGCATCTACACTGTTGAAGGCACCCCTGATAATACTTGCAGATTTTAATGGTTTCATATTTTTTTTAGTTTTGAGCTCAATTTAAACTATATATATAAAGATATGAAGTAAAAGTTAATTTTACAGTTTTGATCAGATTCTCAAATTTATAGAAAGAAATGACATCAAAATTTTCCAAACAAAGGATCAATATTTTACTGTTTTTTTTATAAATAGGTCTAAAACAGAGGGGCATGCCAAACATGGAAAATCTTGGAATGGCTTCTTACTTCAAAATTCAAAACAAATCTAACAATATTTTTAAAATGCCTTCTTCAAAATAATGATTAGTTACCTGACATTCGGAAGGGCATAAATATTTTTTCTCCTGTGTCTGGGTGTATTATTGCCTGTAAGATATTAAAAATATTTACATGTACATGAATATCATCATAAAAATTTTAAATAATTGGCATGATTTTTTTTTTCTTTAAAAATTAATAAATAATTTTTTTTAAAATTGGTGTTGTATGTCACTCATGTTATTTATTCTTTGCAATGATGTTTTTATGACTAGAGCTGTACAAGATACATGTAAATCATGTATAAATCCACTATCCTACAAATATTCCAACAAACATGGAACAGTTCCATAGAAATTGACACCCACAATATATACTTCTACCTGTTTTATTTTTTGAGCTTCCCATAACTCTTTGTCTGTAACATTTGGGGGCAATTTGTCCTTTGCAAAATCATCTAAGAGTTTAATACTTTTCTGTAATTCTTCCTATGGAAAAAAAAGAATATAAAAAAATGTAATTTTTCATCACTTTCTGTGAATAAAAAAATTCATTCAAAACATTAATTATACATGTATATAATTTTTGATATGTGCGAGTGCATTAATGTTGATGAAGTACAAACACATTAGTGTCCTTTGTAATCTAAGTAAATGCTAACTTATAAAATAATAAAGTCAGTCTCAATCTGAAACACATATCACTTAAACAACAGATCATCCCAATATTCACTTCTCAGACAAGATAAATAAAACCTATATAAATACATGTACTAATTGTATTCTTTATTTTTCTTTGAGCAGATAATAAAATTACATGCACAAAGTAGATATATGTAGTATTCAGCCTGCCATACATTCACTATCATGTATGCTTGTTTAGGGTAGCTGAGTCAGACTTAAATCTTCAACACCATTAACTCCAGCCTCCAGGGCCAAAAAACTTAGACACACTCAATTTTGATAGCAGTCTCACTTTTACATAAGGAATTAATAGTGGAAAAGTGAGATTGAGACCAAAAGTAAGCTCATCTAAGTTTTATGGCCCTGGAGCCAGAACTGAAGATTATAACCAAAATGAAATGGCTGAGTTTAGGGTAAAACAATAACTCTTCCTAAATTAGTATTTTGTTTTATATATTTAGCATACAAATATATATAAATATATATCTGACCATTAGAGCTAAAAAAAAAAAAAATAAGCAAAAAATTACAAGAATTGGAGGTACCTGGTATTAAAATGCAGACTTTTCTACAAAGCTACTGACCTTTGAAGTAAATAGAGTTCTAGGATCTATGACATCAAAAAAATGTCGCAATCTGCCATCAAATGTCGACTGAAATAGTAATTATTAATCAAATTATCAAAATATAAATTTGAAATATTGCAATTTCACAAGTTCATCATTTACACATTAACTTATATCTCAGAAAATTCTATGGACAGGAAAATTTAGAATCTGAGGAAATCCAGCACCTATCATACTCCTTTACAATAAAGAGGAATGTGTAGGAATGAAGTGACAATAATAAACAATATTCAAGCTCAAATGTCCATTTAAACAACACAAATTGGAAGCAGAGCAAACATAGACCTCTAAAAACATCAGAGGTGGGATCAGGTGCCATGGAGGAGTGAGCATCCCCTGTCTACTGGTCACACCTGCCGTGTGCTCCTTGTCATGGTCAGGCAAAATGGAAAAATCCATAGACAATTCAGTTTGAAAATAGTGGCCTAACAATTGTATAAAATATGTCAGTCAACATTTGACTTAATGATAGATTGTTTTTGCTGATAAGGTCATTGTATTGACCATCGAAATTGCGAAATGTTGACTTTAAATAAGACTCTTGATATCCTTGTATCATCAACTCATTTGTCAATAGCTTGTCTCATTTTAGAAATTGTTTGTACATAGAGCATGCTTTTGTGTATTGAATCAACTTGGAGACATTAATTCCACATGCAGGTGATAATGGTACATGTATATTGCTACATAAATAAGGGAAGTTGATGATAAAAAAGTTGAAGTCATCACATTTATCATAAAGTTTTGTTGTTAAGTTACCATTAAAATCCTTTTCTTGTAAAATATCCAAATATGAAGCAGCTAGACTTATCAGACTCTGTGGTGTCTTTTATTTTGAGTTCAAATTAAGGGATATATCGAATCATCACAGGAATGAAAATAAATATTATTAATTGATAAAACATTGATATTTCCGAATGTTGAATTGAAGGCCACAGCAAGAGACCTTCCTTTTATGTAGAAGTTTTTTGAATAAATTCTGCTTCATATGAATACAAAAATAGGTCTGCTAATAATGGGGCACAATTGTAATCTACATTTAACCACAGACACCTGTATAGGTAAATCATGACCAAAGCAATTGCATTCTTTATCATTATGTATTAGATTGTATATTATATTTGCACCACATTTATATAAGTTTTGCATTCATCAGTATACTTTTGTGTATTTTGTATGTTAGAAATGGTGAGTTAACCTGTGTGAACCTCAAACTCATACTACATTTGTACTGCATTATCTTTGAATACTGTGATATATCATCTGGGCAATTAGTAGTCACAATCAAACTGTAACGTGTTTAAATTTACCATGAATCCTATAATTTCAATGAATTTTGTGGGACTCTACATAATATATTCATCAAAATTATCATTTTGAATGGTCACATATAGTAACAATATGTCAGTGTGTTAAGGACATTGACAAAGCACATTTTTCCAGACAAAAAAGGTTTAGTACATAGGAATTTTCACTTATAAAACAGTCACTGAGAGTGATCTCCAATGCAGAATTCAGTGTATGTTACTGAGTCAATACTGAGGTAAACAAGAAGCAAATGCACTTCCTTCAAAGAGTAGATTCATCTCTAAACAGCAAGAAAGAAAAGCAGTGATGGATTTGTTGAACACTATGTTTAGGGGACAGAGAGTCAACAGATCATTTTTAACCACAGCTACACATTTATATGGGAAGAGCAAAAAATGTGACAGAAACTGAGAACAGGAATGGACTAGCCTAAGGATATATAACGCAAAGCTTTGGGAAAGTCAGGCATTTAGAAGGCAGCTGTAGAAGTATGATGATGAGTAAGTAATAAAGAAGTTAAGGCATTCAATCCTAATTGTAAAAGATTCAACAAAATTGAATACATAACAGATGATAGGTGTTGAATACTCAGTATATTTAGACATAATTCCCATTTATTAAGGTTGGGATGTGTCTTGATTCATGACCTTGGAATTTGGCAAGCATTATCTCCCTCTGTTTTAAATTAATAATAAAAATCAATTTTAAGAAACTTATCGGTTAAAAAAATTGATTTATTTGTCATTCTGTTTCTATTGTTTTTAGTGCATTTTTCCACTAGAGTATTTATTGATATTATTATTTGAATTTTTATTTTTAAAAAATTGCTCCACAGACTTCAATGCAATCTTTGTTAAGTACTTACTGCTTTGTTAGTTACATTTTTGAAACTTTCTCTTGGTAAATCCTTTTCTACTGTAATATGCTTTGAATTAATATCTGAGTATTATGTATGTGATGGACATTAAAGGATAGAGGATAGAAAACTTTAAGGGTAAGAGCAAAAAAAAGTATAAATTTAAAGTTATAAACACCAGTGGCAAGTATTCTAGGGAATTGATGTTTTGCTCTGGGTGTAGTTAATCTGAAGAAGATTAAGACAACTGGTTCTTATCTATCAATTGGAACCTAGGGGAGAAACATGGTGCAAGTAGTACCTTACCCAGTCCCCATCTCTAGATAAGAGAAAATTTAAGTACTGTGTGATATACCCTCAGACAGAGCTGTCTTTATAATCATTCCCATTAATAACTCAGACAGAGTAAAAGGAAAACCTTCGTAAGAACATGATCATACCATTACATAGGAAATATCTTTGAAATTTTCTTTGCAAGGACAACTAAGCCATTATTAGTCATATTTATACAGAAGCAACCTTAGATATTGTAGAAACAAGTTTGTTCAAATTTTGACCCCCCAGGGGTTGGAAGCACAACAGAGGGTCAAAGTTTTGCAAAAGAATATATAGGAATCATCTTGAAAAAAATCTTTTGCTCGAGAACAGCAAAGCCATGATTAGTCATATTATTATAGAAGCATCCTCAGGTAGTGTAGATTCAAATTTGTTCAAATTTACTGTGGGTAGGGTGGGCCACAATGAGCAATCAGAGTTTTACATAGGAATACATAGAAAAAAATCTTTAAACTTCTTTTGTTTAAGAACAGCAAAGCCATGATTAGTAATATTGATATAGAAGCATCCTGAGATAGTATAACTCTAAGTTTGCCCCCTCCCCTCCCCTTAAAACTTTTCAATACTGAACTGACATCTGCTAGCCAGTGTGCTCAGGTGAGCGATGTTGGCCCTATGGCCTCTTGTTACAAGTAAAGAACTATAATTTTTTTTTTTATTTTCGAGAAAAAAAAGTATTAATTTGTTTTATTGTGTCAACGAGGTCAGATTAATATATATAATTGTTTCATTAATCATCCTTGTTTTCTTTGTTTTATATATAGCAGAACAGATTTGGCAAAGGGGAGTCAAAATACATGAAAGTTAAATGTTAAAAAAACAAAAGTTTGGGAGGACCCTCAACTTTGAGAGATTACATGTAAAAATTTGAAAAATTTGTATTTATAAACTGAAATTTTTAAAAAAGGCTGTTGTTATTCAGAAAGGATATAACTGCACAGGGTTGTGGATAACCACTCGCCCACTCGCAAATGCGAGTAAAATTTGCAGTGGGTGACTAGATATTAAAAATCTGGTCACCCACATGGCGAACAATGTTTTACTGGAATAATCACATTTCAGTTTTATTTTATGTACTTTCAGTTTTTAAGAAAACACTCTACTAACTTAGATTATTTGTGCTGCGTCAAGCATATTACTCAAACATGTATGTGACTGAGACCCAAAATGGCGATTTATCGAAGCGGTTAAATCTCCATTTAATCTGATGATATGAGGGCAAATGTTTGAGATTGTTCTAATGGAAATATTGTAACAATTGGCTATGGTTGTCACACATGCCATTCGACTAGTTATTCACAGATAGAATTTGAATTACCGTGTCAAATGCACACAATAAAAGATCGGGATCAAACTTAATCACAGGTTGTAATTTATTATTTAATATGCCCCCTTGTTAATCCATAGACACTTCAGCTGTATAAGTTAAGGTTTATAAATACTACAAAATGTAATGAACATATTATTGGATCGAAGTTTTTAGAAAAGAGAAAAAGTGACAAACATCCATATACTGCGAACATACAGATACTACGAATAAAAAAAAGTTAGAAAAATTTAGGGTTTTTGTGTTCTTATTTTTAATTTACATATAATGTGGGCCCGTTGATCACATTGTGGGCACATAAAATTTGAAAAGTTAGGAGCCCACATGGCCCCTAAGGTTTCAAAAGTTAACCAAAACCTTGCTGCACGTTTCTAACTGCGAACGTGACTGATGCATGAGCACGGTATTTCGTTTAATAATCGCCAAAATAAATCTATTTTACTTTTATTTTTAAGCAAAGACAGTTGACTAACCTGGTCATAACGAGGTTTTCCAAGTCTAAAAGGTGGGTATGCATTCGACATCTTCTTCAGTTTTCAAGAATATGTGAGTTAGTCATGTGACAATTTTTTTTCTATCACCGTTTAATCACTTCTCAAGGTTTCGTAGCTTGTTAAAAAAGCAGGAAATAATGTTCGCTCTATAACACACAAAACCTCAGTTAAGGAATCAAAGTCCCGGAAAACGCTAACTGTTGCTTATGTATACGTGCAAAATAAAGAAATGCATCATGCAGGCACGTAGTATCAGGGGGGCCTTCCCCCCCCCCCCCCACTTATCAGCTTATTTCCAGACATAAGTTTTTCTATAGGAAATATTCATTGAAAGTCCGGTTGCCCCCCCCCCCCCCACACTTTGGCTTGCAGTGTTGTCAAATAAGGGAATAAGGGTAATGTAAGGGGAATGTAGTATTTGAGTAAAAAAATGGTACTAGAAGAAGTTGGAACCTCCCCCCCCTCCCCCCCCCCCCCGAAATAGGATTTTCGAGTTTGCACAATTTTTTTTTTTTTTTTTTTTTTTTTTGCTTGTCAAGTTTTTTCAGGTAAGTTGAAAATGTTTCCTTGGGTTGCCCCCCCCCCCCCCCACCACTTTCAAAAACGATGCTACATGTACGTCACTGTCATGCATGGAATTATTATAAAAGAATGATATATGTAGATCTATCTCGTAAACTGACAGCTTTGGAACAAGCTCAGATGGAGTAACAATTCGAAAAGTACTTCTTCTTAATCTCATTAACATATATATCTACCCGCGGTTTCAACATTTAATTAAGCCCTTAAGGTAAATCCGAAACGTCAAGAGTTACACGGTACAATGTTCGAATTAAGAGTATCAACAAATCACAATTGTAGAGATACAGGTATACAATTTTCAAGCTAACAAATTGTGAATTTACACGTCTGGATTTTTGAACACGATTACCCTCCATAATCCGGTCCTCAGGTTCTATAATCAGGAGGTAAGTAATCGAAAATGCTCACAAAAATGTCTCTGAATTCTCAAAGTAATGTGTATTTACCCATGGTATTTCTTCAAAGTTCACCATTATAGTTAATCATATTATATATATAGGGAAAATTATCAAATCTCAAATATATTTTCAAGAAATGCAAATAAAAGCACCTGCAATGCATTTAACTTTTCTAATTGAAAATTGCTCCACAAATATATTTTAGAATTAAAAATACTTTTGTTATCCAGACATTTGGAGAGAATTGCATTTTTTTTTACGGTACTTTTGTTCTTCTATTTACTGTAATTGTTATATAATATACATAGTGCACAAAGCTTGTGCTATCATCGCAAGACATTACAGATCACTTCTAATTTCATATAATGCTAAAATATTTGTAACCAAAGTTAGATTAAAGGAAATTTGATTTCTTAAAAAATGTATTTATTTTTGTACTTTTATTGGGTACAAATGTCAATATTTTACAAGACCGTTTCTAAGACTTCAAAGAACCTTGAATCATATTGAGATGAATGAAATGAAAATTGTTGCACAAAAAGATTTCAATTTCAAGCTTCATTTTGAGACTTTTTTGATTAAATAATTATTTTAAGAGTCATCAGTTCCTGCTGAGAAGCAGATATCCTTTAATTATGAGCAGAAAGCCTAATTCTACAATCTGTATTTGTATATAATGAATTTATAGGTTTGCGCAAGTAATATTGTACATTAAAAGTATCAACCAAATGTTGGTACATAACGGACTTCAAACATTGTAACGGGTATTGGAAAGCATAATATCATAGGCCTGGTGGCTATTCACCTCAAGGGAAAAAATATTTAAAAATAATCAAAAATACACAATTGTTACATGCACTTTTTTGGACCAGAGTATAGTGTACTAGTGTGCCAAGTCGTATTGAAATTGGACCAGAACTGTAGAAAGAGTAGCGCTTTGAAAGAATTTCAGAGAACTTTCTAATTTAGTAACCATAGCAACACCATTTGTCGAAATCAAAGACCGATCGATGAACAGAATTATGTATATAAGTAGAGTCTGTGTACCAAGCTTACTGAAGTTGGACCAAAACTGTAGGAGGAGTAGTGTTTTGAAAGAAATGAGAAGAAATCTCAATTTTTTATAACCATTGCAACACTTATGTTGACAGACAAGTTCAAGTTTAATTTATTCACTCAAACCACTTAATGGCACATGGGTTCTATACACAATATATACAAACAAAGACATTATATACAATATACACATCAAATGCGGGAAAAATACAAGTTAAATAAACATAAGTAATTATGGGAGACAGACTTGTTCATATACCGGTACTTAGATATGTAATTGCAACAGTTTAATACACTGGAGTCAGCATTTGACAAATCTGAGAATTTGTAAAAATTTGGTCCATAACAATATTTTTAGGAAGATACTTTTTCCGAAATTCTGAAAAAATTGACATTCTAGAATATAGTGATACTCGTCTATTTGTCCCTTTTTACACAAATGACAAAGTCTAACATTTTGGGGAATCTCACACCATCTCCCATTCTCAACTGGGAGACGATGATTTGTTGTTCTGAATTTGATAAAAAAAAATTTAGGTAGTATATTCAAATATTTTACATATCCAAATTCTGTTTTGAAAATACCATATCTGACCTTTGGACGAATCGCGTATATCGCTTTGCCATTTCTGCATGTACTGATCTTTAAGACGTTGTTCATTATTATAAATTTTAACCATTTAATATTTACAAAAGCTTGTTCATTCCGGATCCATACGTTTAAGTGGCCACAAAGATCAAGAATATTCTTAATACATGAAATCCAAGGGTTCTTATGACTTCTTCTACGAAATTGCTCAAATAAGTATTTATATAAAACACATACAATCTTATTTTCAGGATTTACCAGTAATTTTGCCCAATAAGGATATTATTCTTAAATACACTGTTACATACAAAGGGAAGCAGCCTGTTTCTCCATAAACCATATAGCTTGGGGTACTACTTTTCAGATTTAAATTGTAGTCCTATTTCAAAAATTTTAGATGAACACGTTCAATTATTTCAAGATTTTCAAAGCCCCATATCTCACATCCATACAAACGTACTGGTATAACAACCTTATCAAACAAACCAAGCTGACAATCTACTGGTAAATTACACGTCTAATTTTTCGTATAATACCATACATAGCTTTCTGGGCTTGCTCACATAAATATTTTTTAGTCTTACAAAACGATCCTGACCTGGAAAGTAACATACCTAGGTATTTAAATTCCTTCACAATTTCAATAACGGAATTATTATATAGTAAAATAGATTTTTAACAGATGAACCTTTTGAAAAAATTAGCATTTTTGTTTTAACTACATTAGCATTCAATTTCCATTGCATACAGTAGGCATGGAACTCATTAAGAGCATGCTGCAAACTTTCTGCAGACTCAGACATATAAACTGTATCGTCTGCATAGAACAAAATAAATAACTTCAGATGAAGTACATGTGTAAGACCTGATTTCCTATAGTACATGGGATATCTGAATTAAATGAAAGTCCTTGTACATTTTTGCAGGTGAGGAATTCTTCTTAATCATTATAGTAAACATGAGAGGCGATATCTTTTCTCCTTGACGTACACCAATATTACAATTGAAAAATTGTTAACCAATCAGATAAAGCGAAACAGATCTGCGAACTCCAAAACCTCTTTCAAAGCAGTCAGTGGAGAAAATTTTATGTATCCGATTAATAAATCGTCCGATTACAGCATATAAAACACTAATGATGGGGTTTAGATTAAAGAGACTAGTAGAAGAACATCTCCCTGACAGAGTACTTGCAAAATTTTGATAGGTAACACTTTTATTACCTTGGAAATATGGAACCCCCCTCCCCGTTTGTTTACAAATTTTGTTTCTTACCTTGTGTATTTTTATTATACCGTATACAAGGCCATTCTCTGAATATAAGAAAAAGTACTGTACAGTCTTCTTGCATAGAAGGACATCTATGTCCTTCTATGCATATGGATGTTATTGACGGGGAAATTATACATTTTTGAGAAATTATAAGCATTTACATTTTTTTAAATTAAAGTGTGTGTGTGTGTGGGGGGGGGGGGTATCGATCCACACTTCAGGCGTTTGTGATTAGAAGTGAAAGTTACGGGTCTTTCGGGTGAGACCTTAAAAATCGAGGTCCCTTATCACAATAGGCATTAGCACGAAAAAGAGTCCTCACTGCTCAATGGACCTGAGTGCCGAGTATACATGTAGCCCTTCACCGGCATAAGGTGTCACCTCTAGGCCATCTTTAAGAAATTGTTTGTTTGCCCTCTCCCGATCGACTGACTAAAACGGACCGACTCAAAAAAAATATTCAACCTCTAGGAAACAGTTTTTTTTTTTTTTTAAAAATCATTTCAAAGTTTTCTCATCCCATTAATAAATATTTTAACTTAACATTCACAAGAGTTTCTGAATTTAAAAAAAAATCCACACTATTTATTTACCAAATGTTTTATCCTTAGTCGGGAGAGGGCAAGCAAACATTTTTTTTTAAAGATGAGTGAAAGAAAATCTCGAATGTGACGCTAAACAACATACAAACAATCAATGAACCGTTTGTCGAAATCAAAAACCGTTAAATAGAATTACCTAACTTATTGAAGACCATTGTGTACCAAGTCTTATTGAAAATGGATCAAAACTGTAGGAAGAATGGTGTTTAGAAAGAATTGCAAAGAAATGTCTTTTTTAGTAACCATGGCAACACCGTTTGACAGTCTGACTAAAGCCAGCCCCTACTATTTCACGAACGAAGTGAAATAGTAGGGACTGGCTTTAGTCAGACTGCACCGTTTGACAAAATCAAAAGCTGATACACAGAGTTATGTTTCTTTAGTTAGTATATATAGTCTACATTTTGAAATTGGACCAACATCGTTTGTCGAAATCAAAAACCGATAAATCGAATTATGTATCTTAAAAGGGGGACGCTCTCTGCTGAGAGAGATAGTAGTCCTGAAATTACCCATAGTCTGTCGTAACAGATTTTAGTGGTGGAGACCTTTGAATAATCAGTACAGTAGAGCTTTGTTATAGCGAAGTACTAGGGACCTGCGAACATCTGTTATTCGTTATATCCGTATAACGAATTCGTTAAAATATACATAGCGAATTCGCAATATAGATTTTTTTTGTTCTTCAAGTATATGACTACCAAATGTATTTAGGGAGGTATAAAAAACGTAGACTCCCTTGGAGTTCAAAAGTTTTCGTATGAAATGAATTTCAAATATAAATACTTACCAATGCACGAGCAAGAGTGGTCCCTGACCAGTAGAGCAAAAAAAAAAAAACAAACAAACAAACAAACAAACAAACAAAAAACAAAAAACAAAACAAAACAAAAAAACCAAAAAAAATATTAAGTTTTCAAATTTCTGTTTTCTTAAGGATATCCGATCCTCAGCCAGGAGGGATAACTCTTAAATTTATTATTTTATTTAAAAAGTCTCAAAATGAAGCTTGAAATTGAGATCTTTTCGTGCATCAGTTTTCATTTATGCATCTCAATATGATTCAAAGTTTTTTGAAGTCTTAGAAACGGTCTTGTAAAAAGTTGACATTTGTACCCCTTAAAAGAAAAAAAAAATCATTTTTAGAGAAATCGAATTTCCTTTCATCTAGCATTAGATACCAATGCTTGATATGAAATTAGACGTGATCTGTGATGTCTAGCAATGATAGCACAAGCTTTTTACACTATGTAATAACAATTGAAGTAAATAGAACAAGTAAAATACTGTATAACACAGGCACTTGTTTCGGTAATAAATTTTTAACCCATACTATTATTATACTATGGGTTAAAAATTTATTACCGAAACAAGTGCCTGTGCTGTATAAGCATAAAAAAGATGCAATTTTTCCCAAATGCCTGGATACCTATATTTTTTTTATCCTAAAATATAATTGTTGATCAATTTTCAATTAGAAAATGCATAGCTGGTGGTTTTACCCCACATTTCCTGAAAATATATTTGAGATTTGATAATTTTCCTTATATAATATGATTAAATATAATGATGAACTTTGAAGAAACACCATGGATAAATTCATGTTACTCTGTGAAATCGGAGACTTTTTGTGAGCATTTTCAATTACTTAAAAGCTGATTTTCAGAACCTGAGGATCGGACTACCTTAATGTGTACGAGATCTCGCTGATACTCAGAACGATACTGTTATCTTTGACATTATCCAACTGACATTGTCCTGTTTCTGTTTCTTCTACTTTCAGTTCACTCTGAAGTTAGGTATTTAGAAAAAATGACGAATAACACGGTTAGATTTGAATAATATTAGATAAGGGCCAAACATTCCAGTTTCAAGATGTTGTATCGCTGACGGCGCTGATTATGCTTCCTCCATTTGTTATCATTGAAGTCAAAAAGTCAAGGAATATGTAAATTTCCTATTGATAACAGCATTCATAAAAAAAAGTAAAACTGAGCCACAATGATAAAAAAAAGTAACATGTCTTGCTAAGTAATACACTTTTTTTAAGTAGGAAAAAGATATGGAAAGTCTATAGAACTGAAACAAAGGTATTTTAAAACTTTGAAAAGGAAAAGGGTTGTCACGTTACTTGACGTCAAGAAACTTGGTGAATCTTCTGATAGCTGATATAGGGCCCCTTTACGAAAAAAGACTATTAGAATTCAATCAGAGAAATTAATTGTTGATGATCAATTGACCGTCAATTGACCATTAGTTGATTTTTTGCCTTGCAAATGAGGGAGAGTTCAACTCATTTTCATATAGTTGACCACTGTTGAAAGGTCCTCCGTTTTCTTTGCAGTTGACCACTGTTGAATGTTTCTATATTTTCTTTGCAGTTGACCACTGTTGAACGTTTCTATATTTCTTTGTAGTTGACCACTGATGAATACAAAAGTTTTTCCAATAAAACAACATGAACACAACAAAACACTTGGGTCACCCAAGGACTTCCAGTTACTTGGACCTGGTCCAAAAACTTAAACGCGACCACTCATCCAGAAAATGTAGATCAGATCCAACATCTGAAACAAGTCTGGTAGTGTGTATCCATAGATGCATCATCCATCCAAGTTTGGTTCACGTAGGGTTAATAGGTACTTAAGAATGGACTTGCTCCTAAACCAGTTTAACTGGGAAACGCCGACACCGGGAATATGGCATAAGCTCACCATGACTTTTTTGAGGCGAGCTAAAAATTAGGTGGAACATAACAATATGTCCCTGTGACATCATTCGAGTGGACATTATTGATTACAGGGAAAATAAGCTACACGACATATTTATGAGAAAAATATTGACCTTGGAGAACAACTGAACCTTTGTAGCTGTTGAAATATTAGATTCAAAACCAAAATCCTAATAAGGATGTAAAAATTAAAGGAAACTGAAAATATACTCAAAACATTCAATTATCTCCAACATATGATTAGTATTGGAGAAGTTCTTCAGAATACAAAATCTCCCGTGTTCTGTGCCTTAAAGAAGATACAAATGTATATGCTCTGACACTGAAGTCAGACTTTTTATAATTACAAAAACTCCTGTTAATCATAACAAAATTATATATGAAACATTAGACTTTTATATACATGTAGCATAATTAAACATGATTATTTATTACAGTCTTTCTGTGAAACAAAACAAAATGATTTGAAAATTTAACAAAATATTAGTGATTTACATCATATTGATCTACCGGAAGTTACAAACTAAGATATGATTAATATCTATGATTATAATTGTCAAGTGATATGGAGATCATAACTGTTCAATTTTTTTTCCTTGCAGTATGGATTATGTGCTTGGTCTTCGTGGCTGCCATGGATGCTCATTTTGAACAAAGCCTTTTCTCCTACTTCTCAAAGATACACTGAAAAGAAATTTGTTACAGATATTATTCCTTGCAATTTCCATACAATATAGACAACATTAATTATAAATTAAATAGAATCCAAAGAAATCAAAAATATCAATCACGTGGTATAAATCTAATTTAAAGTAGCGAGTTACACAAGTCATCTGATATTTGAGGAAATACACATATAAACAAAATCCCTGTCTAGTATTTCATCAGCTTGCCTTGAAATTTTCATTATATATCGTTTCTTTTTTAGATTTCAATCCTTGTGCTATAGATTTTCATGGCAAAAAGCTCAATTGAGGTGAGGCAGATAGGGATCTTTATTTTACAGCTTGATTGATTGACTTATCAATTACTTATTTACTAAGCCACTTTCAACTGCTGTCCTTACCAAACAAAGCCAAACAATAAGCCAGGGCCAGAAGAAGAGGCTTATCACCAAGTTCAAACAGATCTTGTCTGCAAACCTGAAATCAACAATTCAATATCACAAAATTATTATCTGTCTGCTTAAGTAAGGTATGGTGGCATATTTCTGTCCCCTACATGCAAGATAAGCTATGTAAACATGCAAGAAAAATATGTCAATATGCAAGATCATTATGTTGCAAGTTACCAATCTTTTTAGAGAACCTGATTTTAGTGTGGGTAAATTAACTTACTGACGCCAGTATCTGACATCATACATCCAAGATGCAACATATTTTTGTTGACATGCGATATAATTTTGTAGACATGCGAGTTATGTTGACATGCAATATAATTATATTGACATGCTACTTATTTATGTCAACATGTGAGTTAATTAAGTTGACATGCAACATATGTATGTTGACATGCGACCTATTTATGTCAACATGTGAGTTAATTAAGTAAACATGCAACATATTTATGTTGACATATTTATGTCAGCATGCGAGATAATTATGTTGATTTGCGACCTATTTATGTGAACATGAAAGGATAATAAGATGCATGCCAACATATAAACTAGCATGTCAATATTGTCTCGCATGTCGACATAAATTAAGTCGCATGTCAACATACCCCGGTAATCCTTGTTTGTCTACATAATTTTGCATCTTGGATGAATAATGTCAGATACTAGCATCAGTAAGTAAATTTATCAATATTAAAATCAGACTCTCTATACATACATACATAATTATCTTGCATATTGACATAATTTATCTTGCATGTGAGGGACAGAAATATACTATCATAGCAAGTAAATAATTTATTATAGCGATGTGTTCTATACATTCAAATACCCGATCCATCGAGTAAAATAAAACCATCTGCACTAAGGTAGTATAACACATATGGCGTTTTCTATATATAACAAAGACTGTCTATATCTTCTATATCTTATATGAAAAAGGAAATGTGTTAGTAGTTTGCACATAGATAAAAAAAACTCTTAAATATCAGTTTCCGACTTTCCTTAAGTGAAAGCAACGCTTTTGCAAACCACTAAGACAAACAATTCATAACAAATAATGTATTAATTGAAGTGAAGTACGTGTATGAATTAGTACAAAACTAGAAATGTCCAGGGTTATTAGTAATATGTAACATGAAAATTGTATATCTTGAATACATGCAGTTTCTTTAACACTGAAATAGATACACAATAAATAGTAAACTCATTCCCCGGAAATGTGAATCTTTATTATGTATAATTAGGAACTTAAAATTCATCGTAATAATAGGTAGTCTAATTAATAAAACACTGTCATCTTAAAAATGGTCTGCTATATTACAATGTAAATACTACATATATACATGCACCATTTGTGAATGTTTACTATACAGTAGATCTTCCCAGGAAGGATTTACAATGGGGGAAGGTTTATTATATGAAACCGGAAACAGTTTTTTAAATCACTTTTCAATAAAAAGCCCAATATCAACGATAAAACGCCTTAACATTACATTTTTTTGATCTATCATGTGATGATTTTTGTCCTGAATATGCTTTAAAAAAAAAATAAAGTCGGGGGGAAAGGGGGGTTCACTATCCCCAAAAGGATTGAGCCTTTTGCGCTCATTATACGACCCCTTCTTTTTAAATACCTGTTTTTAAACCATATGCGATATAACCCTCGCATAACTGGACTTTGACGAATAGTTTCAAGTAAGATGGGAGTGCTTTTCACAAGACAGTGCAAGTGTCCTCATAACAGGTTTTCATTGTTCTAAAAATTATTTTTTCACTCAGAGAAGAGAATTATGTTTTCCGTAAAATAGAGCAAAAACCTATTCATATGGGAAAAAAATGTTTTATAGTAATTGAAATTGTCAATTTAATTTACTTTGGTGTGTGCATGTATATTACAGATGAACATTTTCAGTAGTAATAAGATTTTAATTTTACAGCAAACAAACGAAATATTGAAGAAAATTTCGCTATACAGTTATATATTGATTATGTAGTAATATGTTTTCTTTCATATTTGTCCAGCCGTGGCATTTTATTCGCTTTTATGTCCCTGTTTTATTTTTAATGATCAAATTTCAATTTACAAAAGAACAGACGTAATACCATTTAACTTAGAAACACTAGATGTACCTTTCGGGCACTTGCTGTATTACAACAGGGGCCGGCGCTCCTCCCCCTACCACAACTGTCGTGCTGCTGTGATGGGAGTGTTGTGGGGGTGGGGCATATCCTTGCTGCGGTGGCGGGGCATATCCCTGTTGGGGTGGTGGATATCCTTGTGGTCCGGGGGCATATCCTTGTGGGGGTTGGCCGTAACCCTGTGGGGGTGGGCCATAACCCTGTTGAGGCGGAGGATAACCTTGAGATGGCTGATACGGAGGAGGTTTGTCCTAAAACAGAGAAAAATATTGTTCAAATTATGTCAGAGAGAGAGAGAGAGAGAGAGGTATGTTCATTTTATATTTGTCACACAACAAATCTTTCCTGCTTCTAAGAGCAAAAGTATAAATGTCATGTACAGATGGCTTTCTCTAGCCTGAAACAAGGGGAAAGCTGTCAATGTGGCAGCAAATCGGGTAGAGTACTGTATTCTCACTTAGAATATAAAAACTTTCTTGACTGAAAAATTATAAGAGGTGACTTCCCAACTAAATAACTAAATCAATGTACCCTATGAAGATATTTGGCATTAAAATGACTAAGTTCAACAACTTGTACATTAGTCATAAATTATCAAAAATCAAAAGTTCTTATCTTGAAAACTGTAGGTAGAGTTATCTGAACAAAATTAATAATGAACCCTTTGGCAGCCGCCCGCCCGCCATTTTCACTATTTCAATAATAGGAATTTTCCTATTAGTCATATTTTTTACAGATACATTGCTATCATGCCTATGCATGGCAACAGATTTGAGTGTCTGCATACGTACCGTAGTCAAATGTTCAATGTCTACGAGTAGTGAAACCTCTTTTTCAATCTCTTGGGAGGAGTTGTACAGATTTTAAAGGGCCTTGGAGACAGATTTGAGGTTTTAAAAATTCTTAAATTTTCGGTATAATATAATGACTTTATATGTTGCGCATTTCAGAGCGATATATTATAAAAACATGTTTAGAAACTTCTTTTATTTGAAAATTATTAAAACTACAAATTTCGGGACGCATTTGATTGACACACATCCTTAAATTGCACTTTCACGAAGTAAACTTTATGCTTAAGATTTAAGAAAAGTGGAAATTTTGTTGTGTATTAATGAAAAATATTAAAACTATAATCCCAAAAATTCAGAGTAGAAATATGAAAATGCAAAAACAACCACACTCGTGTTGTCAGTCCGTGGTCAGTGATGTGTGCAGAGTTAACAAACAATTGAACACACCCCTAAAACGTAAACATTCATTATGATAAGAAAAGAACTGCCCATGTTTACAAAAACAGTTGTTTAACGTAAAGTCATGAAGAATATCGTGGTCACTGAATTTTAAGAACTTTTCATTTAGGTTTGACTACACTGAAGTATTTTATGAAAATAAAAACAAAAATTTGAAATTGAAAACAAAACGGCAATGCAACTGTGTCCGAGCCCAGGGGTTTTTTTTTAGGGTCGGGGAAGGGGGGGGGGGCAAATAAGGCCCCTGAAATGCAGGTACATGTATTTTTCTCCCAATTTTTGCTTTAAAATTTTCAATGAAAAATCGTTAAGGCAGGGTATCCTTATCGTTCATAAATCTCCTTCACTGGCCCACAGATTAAAATTTTGCATCAAAAATGTTAAGTAAACCTATTTTTTTTCAAGTTGAAAGCCAAAAGGAGTCCAATTACTTGCTTGCTTTATGCACCGGTTTATAATTAGTCTTTTTCAGTATTTCTTTGTATGTTCAACGTTTTTCCAAATTTCAAGCAAATGTCGCTATTTTTTCCCAATTGGAAAGGCTCAGGCCTTTGAATTCAAGACCCCAAAAACCCCGAAGCCCCTTTAATGGTGACAGCTGAAGACACAGTAACCTTGAAATAGATTACTACTGCGTGGTAACGCTGAACACGACTCGTACAATGTATATAGGTGTACGCCATATTAGTTTTCCTATCTCCTATATCATCACTGTACACAATAACACTGATCCAAAGCAAACATATTAAAAAACCAAACACAAATTGCAAGATAAATAGAAATGGAACGTACTTTCAGTGCATATGTTTATCAAATGATTCATCGATATGAAATTAAGGTACATGTATAATGTCCCTCTGATAAGAAAGATAACTTTCGCAGGAAATTATTCCAAGCAATCCAATGAATTGTCTTACCAGAGTTTACTTATAAGGATCATTATGTAGTTAATTCAATCGGATCTGAACTATGATACAAATATTGATTTCTATTTTCTATTGCCAATATTTTATTAATTACTTAGTACACATGTACCTAAAACATTTATACTCCGCTCATTTAAACTGTTAATTTGAGACGTTTCTATCTCTTAACAGATAATTCTCTTAATTGTTACAGGAATTTTAGATGCAGAATTTTTATAATCAATTATTTATTTTTTTCTCTTAAAAATATTTTGAAGAAAGATAACTCCTGTAGATGGAATGATAGCTTTTGTAGATGGATGCATTTTTATTTTACAAGCACAGAAACAATGTGATGTTCTCACTGGCGGATTTAAGGGGGGGGGGCGCACGCCCCCCCTAAAATTGTCAAAGTATGATATGACTAATATCAATAATGCCATACTTTGGTATATAACAAACCAATACCGCTATTTTTGTGCCTGGTTTTACTCTTAAAATACACGAAAACCCAGGAGCTTCCGGGGGCTTCGCCCCCTGGGCCCCCTCTATTCAAAGTATGATATGACTAGTATTAATAATGAGAAACTTTGGTACATATAAACTAACCAATACCCCTATTATTGTGCCTGGTTTTACTCTTAAAATACACGAAAACCCAGGAGCTTCCGGGGGCTCCGCCCCCTGGGCCCCCACCAGGGCTTCGCCCTGGACCCACTGGGGGCCTTAAGGCGGCCCCCAGACCCCCTGCCTGAACAAAGTTATCCACGCCCCCCATAATCACAAATCCTGTATCCGCCCATGGTTCTGATTTAGAAAGCAACGCTTCATTATGTTTTCTAATATGAATTAAATTGGCATGACAGTAAATATTATTTTCATATATACCTCGTATTTTTGATTTTATGCTGAGATAGAAAATTATTGATCTTTCTATTCACCATATTAAAGTTTCTTCATATCACGATTAGACATAATATTCATTTCTGAAAAAGTAAGCAACGCTTCATATTTCAAACTATTTTCCATTTGAATCGAATGCTATTGTTGTTTATGAAAATCACTGTTTGAAATTTAAAAAAAATGGTGAAATTTAAAGCAGAGGGATATTTCACCTTAAGTGGTATGGTTGGCCTATTTATATTCAGATCGTGCTGACACCCGGGGTATTTGTCACGTGATGATGCCGATATCGATGATCTTTCTGCAGACTATGCTGCAAGGCAATGTGTTTAACAACTTTTATTTGATATTTATACTGTGAATATATTAACAGTCAATTTTAAACTCTGAAGCGTCTTACTTGCAAATAAAACTTTTATATTTTCTTTTAAATATAGACAAAAGGGGAAAATCATATAAATTAACTACATGTTAGAGCTAAATATCAATCTTTCCATGCTGAAACTGTATTACAGAAGATCCATTAAATAAAATTTTGGTGTAGCATACCACATTAATATGCTTCACAAGCATTTAACAACTGTGCTTCGATTTTATAATAAAACTTCGTCAGTTATTTAGGACCGACAAAGATCGATACGAAGACATTTAGGTACAGGTTACTGTAGTTTGCAATTACCCGAATAGGATAAAATCAGATTAACGAGGACGATTCATTCAATATATGTGTTATGTTTGACTAAGTATTTTATATATTACATGCAAGTCCAACGACATTGGCAAGATAAATATCTATACTTATAAATTAATAAATTTGCAAATAAACTCCGAAACGGCTGCACAAGAGTTCTTACTTACTCCTCTAAGAATAAACTAGATACAAGATGATGTCCGTAAACTATATTTAGATTTCACTCGCATAGTAAGTATCGTACATTAAATTAAAAGTCTACTTTCATTTTCTATATACAACCTTGAAATAGCAAAAACGTGAGTAGTCGCCCGCGTGGCGCAGTGGTTAGAGCGTCTGCTCTAGAGTTGCAAAGCAAGGAGTTGATCCTTACGTCGCGGGTTCGAATCCCACTGTGGGACGTGGAGACCGGTCCTTCGGATGAGACCGTATAAATCGAGGTCCCGTGTCGCAGTAGGTGCTGGCACGAAAAAGTCCCTCACTGCTCAATGGCCGTAAGTGCCAAGCATAGGACAAAATTTGCAGCTCTCCACCGGCAAGTGGTGGCGTCTCCATATGAGTGAAAAATTCTCGAGAGGGACGTTAAACAACATATAAACAAACAAACAAACAAAAACGTGAGTACAGTGGCGTTCCCGGTTGGCGGATCTAAGTTACTGGCAATTTTTAATGAAACTGCAATTTTTAATGAAACTGACAACAAGCAATCGTTTATTTATTTCATAAAAAGTCATCACTGAATTATTCAATCAAAACTTGATTCAAATGATATAAAAGAAATAAATTGTGATAACCGATTAAAAAGGGAAATGTGCAAATTATTTTCGTCATCACCGATCTCAATATTGACGGAAGCTTCTAGAACATCATAAAGCATCGAGCCCGATGTTAAAATGAAAAACGTTGCGTGAACATTTAAAAAAAGCCTTTATATGAATGGTCATTGAAATAATGGTAAACCATTGATAATACTATAAGTTGTGAATATATTTATATATCGAAAGACTATTACATATATGTAGTAGGTTTTCCTAATAAATTTACCGGTAAAATTTGTGTATAATCTCACTGTGAGCATCGTGGCATCGAACCCGAAGTACAATTTGTACTTCGTAATAGACTTGCTTACATGAAAATAGAAAATCATGAATAAGGTATTGTTCAAATACAATTAAAGCTGTAAAATTTTGTGCTTTAATCAATACATTTCAGTTTTTTTCTTCTGAATACACTCTTTTGTTTAAAATACTCGGCCTATTCATAGGGCGTTAAAAGCTAATTTTTACACAGGTACTTGGGTCTTTGTTTATAAAAATGTATGTACCTTATTTATATGTAAAAAAGTAAAGTACTGTAACATTATTTACATATCAATAAAGTACATACATATTTATAAACCAAGACACAAGTACCGGTTAACCCCCACCCCCCCCCCACCCCCCCCAAATCAATTTATCAGTAAGATGTACATATTCGCTGCTTTATCCTTGACGAAAATGAAATAAGAGCATCAGAAGTACAATATCAATAACATAGTATAACAGGTTTCACAATAAACGTCAATTAATGAAATTGTTATATTTCGAGTTTTTACAGAAAAGGGGGGATGTACATCTACTGCATGTGGGATTATTTTCCTGATATAAGCCTAGCTGTAGGCTGTCAGTAGAAACTACAATATATTTTCTGTCGGTAGTGGTATAAATTCAATTTCCCGAGCTTGCGCGGGATTTCATCTAGTTGTTATTATATAGATACTTCTTTATTTACTGGTCATTTGGTCAAAGATCTGATGTCAAATTAATTCTTCTTTTCTCGTTGCTTGTGACTTTTATTATTATATAAGGAGGCGGTGTTCGTATATACATACAAGTTTACTATACACAGTAACTACTGAGAAAATCTACAGATGTATTATTACTGACGAGTTTGCTTAGCCAAAAAATAAAGACCTAAAATCAACGAGAGAGAGAGAGAGAGAGAGAGAGAGAGAGAGAGAGAGAGAGAGAGAGACTACAATATGGTCATTCAATTTTCAGAAAATATTAATATGCGTTAAAGTACTTACAGACATATCTGTATGTAGCTATCTACAATGAAATAATTAAAAATCAATACATTTAATACATAAATAACCAGAGAATTGAGTTAAGTATCCTGTCGATAAGTCATTTTGGTATGTGCTTATATATACTTAATCACATGTGTATTTATACAAAAAAAAACATGTTTTGTTTGCTATAATCCATTATTCCATTATGCAAAATTTATTCAAGAATGCAAACTGAATTGCAGTGATCCGAATAAAATACGATGGCCGATATCGGCCTGTGTAAAATAAAATTACATGGCTTATACTTTTTTTTAATACAAAAAAAAAAAAATGTAATAGAAATAAAAATGAAAAAATAAAAATAAAAACAACAAAAAAAGTTACCCTTTCACAAAATAGAAAAAAAAGAATAAAATGTACATAAACATTTCTTCAGCATATTGTACATTTACACACAATAAAATGCAATCCCAGTAAATAAAAGAGTTTGTCACTGTAATATATAATTAAGGAATGAGGCTTACTTTGCCTATGTTATACATGTACGATATAACATAACTTGGGGCAGTTTACGCTTTATAAACCGCGAAGCCAATGAAATTGCATGTTACTATTAAAATTAAATTATTTGTACCTGTACGAGGATTGTCCGGTAAAATCGTGGACAAGTAGTCTAGAGCTAAAAATAATCAACACTGCGTTCTAGAATTTTTCCTTCTCTTTAATACACTTTTCAACAATATACATAGCAAATTTCAAAGAGTTATATATGCTCAAATAAACAAAATATGGGATTTTATGTTGTGTGGTATCTCCTTACGGCGCACGGATGATAAAATCAAAATGTCTAAAGTAACGTCACGTTTCATCTTTGCTTAAAATGGTTGGATAAACCCCACTTAAATTCCGGGAATTTTACCCACACACTCGAGTTCCCCTTTATTCCTCCATAAACAATCGAGGGACCAGTCTCGCACACATATGGAACCTTATGAAAACTTGTATTAGTAGGTTTTGGAAGGTACTCTCACTTTCACTAAACTAAATAGGCAGTCTTCCTTCTACGGTCTGCAATGATAGCGTCTTTCGTTATTGCAAATAGCTGATTGTTTGTATGTTTTGATCTACCGGGAGATTCGATCAAAAAAGTTTCCGCTTAAAAAAACGCCCATTCGACTTGTAATGTATTAGTGATATTTTTATATTTTGTCATCTTTTGTTATTATTTAAAGTCTCTTAAGGCGTCATTACTCAATCAACATATAGCTGAACTGCTATTCGGTGCGCCGTAACGTCATCAAACGTCGCCATTTTTCGTGGGTTTTTCGTGTGTTGCGTTTAACATTTTCCCATTTCAAAGTCTTGGAAAACTGCTAAAAGTTAAGCAATTTCCTTGAAATTTTCCGAACGACGATATAATAGATAGTGAATTAAAAATATGATAATTTCTACCCTCATCTTATCTATTTAATATTCCCTGATAACACCCTGATTTTTTGGTCGTGCGCCATAGGAGCATAGATTACCCTATGCACATGCAAGTATAATTAAATCCTTATTTTTCCCTAAAATTATTTTTTAAAAAAAATAGTAAGATGTTTTTAAATATGATAAATAAACACTTGCTGAAAATTTCAGCTCAGTGCGTGCATTATTTTTTCGATAAAAACGCGATGTCCACGATTTTACCGGACAATCCTCGTACAATTATTATTCTTTTTCCCTTTTTTCCAAACATAACTTAATTCAGTTTTTACTGTTAAAAAATGTTCCTTTAAAAGCTGCCCTCCCCCGATCTTTTAATTGCAGTATAGTTGAATCATGGTAATGTATTAATAGAATTGGTTCTGAAAATTTTTGAACCTATCAAAGATTGATCAAATAATTATTAAACTGAACATTTTCCGATATACCAGTAAAAAATGTCACAGTTGAAGTAATATGTTTATTGAATATATTATCAAAACCACAGACTTTGTCATTTTTAAGCTTTTTAACACAGTCCAGTATTTCTTCATCGCTAATAGCACAATTAAGGAGATCATATGAAAAATTGTTAGAAAAATTCGCTAATTCTGTTGATCATCTATATTACCTGGATCAACATAACAATTTTTATCTTCATTCACATCTTTTAAATACATGTCAGTAATCTACAGCACATTTCTTTCTTTCTTTTTTTTTAACTGATGCATTCAGAATTTTCCAGTAATCTTTGGGGTTTGTAGATTTTTTTTGATTTTTTTTTATTTTTTATTTATTTATTTTTTTTTCAATTTGCTCTTTGCTATTTTTAATATTATCCATTGTATATCTTATCCATTGTTTTCTTGTATTTCTTACCCATATCATTCAAAGAGGATGGGTGAACATGTCGAGCGAAAAGCCTATAGTGTGACAAACATGAAGATGAAAAAATGAATCTCAATTATATCAAAATTTTCCTTGATATTTCATCTAACATTAAAATATTCTTTATGTTAAATCTCTACAATTTACAAAAATCTCTCAAAGATTGAAATTATTTGCCCATGAAATATTATACACACACTAAAGAGGGCAAAAAAAGTCATTTTCTCATACTAAAACACTATTTTTCGATATGAGTGGGTCTTCGCTCCATTTTTTGAAAGTTAATCCTCAAAGTTTGCATAAAAATATACATTTTTTGATTACCAAAAATATGGAGCAAAGACATACTATACCTTAAAAATATACTTATAAGACATAACATTCGCAGCTTTTCGAGAAATACTTGAAGTCCATTAAGTCAAGGGTCATATCACAAACCTCGTAGCTGACGATATCAATAGGTCCCATCCTATCGGTCGCCCTAACCCCAATAATCAAAATCTAAGACAAATAATTTGTCGCTTTCGCAACTGGAAAATCAAAAACAAAATCTTTAGTGCCAAGAAAAATCTAAAGGAAAATCCACAAAACCCGAGCAAAATTTTCATTACGGAAGACTTAACTAAGTACAGACAATTTGTGGTCAAAAAAATTATAGAAGCAAAAAAAGCAAAAAAACTGGATAGTTTCTGGACATACGACGGTAGAATATTTGTAAAAACCGAAAGGGATGGAGACAGAGTTCAAATCACCTCGGTGGATGACCTCTACGAACTAATCGGTTAGATATATCAAGCACCTGCCTATATATTTATGTCACATGTAAAATACAGAATCAACATTTTTAATATTATGGAAATGCTCAAAACATATTAATTTAAAAATTTCCATACTCTCCAATACCAGTGTATTGTTTTGCTCTCTGAACAATGTTGTTAGACACGCTTTGTTTATTTACATACATAGTCAGTCTTGTATATATGTTTGTTATGACTGACTTACAAGTACTTGTTCTTGTAACAAGCCCTAGTTCATTTTTCTCTGTTTACAATCTGTTTTTTATTTTGATTACATCTACAATGGGTTTCAGTTTTTCTAGACAATATCAATATTTATATGTTTGCAAGCTACAACGTTGCTGTTTTTTGCGGCTTTATTTTATTTTCCTTCAACCCAAAACACTAGTTATTACCGATCATGGGTAATACTCTTGATCAACATCGAGCCGCAATTGGAATTTTTTACCTCCGAAATAGATGCACAATCAAATCCATGACTTATTGTTTTTTTCAGATTTATACATTTATTCTCCTTGTTGTTAAAAGTGTACCAATGTTGTAAACAAAAATTCAAAGTTTGCATGAAATACGCAGTATATTTTCAGCATGTCAATTTTCTTTTTCAACTTATAAGCATTTTACTACTGTTGTCTGGGGATATTGAATCAAACCCTGGGCCTACAAATAACATAGTCCGTACTTTAGATATTTTTCATATAAACATAAGAAGTATAAGAAACAAAATTGAAAATTTAATATCATTTGTCAGTGATTATCACATTTTGTGTTTTACAGAAACACATTTAGATGCAAATATTGACGACAACGCTATTTCAATTGAGGGGTTTTCTAAAATTTTTCGCAAAGATCGAAACTCATATGGGGGCGGTACACTTATTTATGTATCCGATTCACTTAGAGCTTTAAGACGTGCTGACCTTGAACCTTTGAACACTGAATGTATATGGATAGAAGTAAGCGATCCTACAAGTAATATTTACCTTTGCTGTCTGTATCGGCCTCCGAATTCTGACAAATCCTTTTGGAAAAACATAATGTGGTCCATTGAAAAAGTTTCTGATATATCCAACAAAATAATAATCCTTGGAGACTTAAATGTAGATTTTTTAGATATCCCACACACTCACATAGTTAACGAAATTTTGTCCCAACATAGCCTTTGTAATATCATCAACGAAGCAACGAGAGTCACGAGTAGTTCGAGCACGCTTATTGACCCAATTCTAGTTAGCTCAGACATCAGAGTGCTTCACTCCGGAACTGTTCAGGTTGATAATTTTATAAGTGATCATAAAGGAACCTATGTTTATGTTAAGTCAGATGTTATTCAAAATCAATCATACGAAAGAAAAGTTTGGTTATATAAACATGCAGATATGGATAAATTGAATTCTCTTATTGAAAATACTGACTGGAACACACTTATTAGTGAAGCACCGGATATAGATCAAGCAACAAATAATTTTACATCAACATTTTTGAATATTGTGAAGGAATGTATTCCTGAAAAATCGGTTGTAATTCGTCCAAAAGACAAACCTTGGTTTGATTCGGCTTTGCGCAAAACACATAGAACTAAAAAAAGATTATTTAATAGGGCTCAAAGGACAAAAAGAAACTCTGACTGGGAAAAATATAAAAAATGTAGGAACAATTTTAACAATATGAAAAAAATTGCGATCGAAAATTATTATAATATTATAGAACACCACATTACAGATGCAAGTAAAAATAATTCGAAACTGTACTGGAAATTATTGAGAGATATATTTAAAGTTAAATCAACTACAGACATTCCCCCTCTACAGTATACTTCTATTAATGGTGATGCATCTATTGCTTTTTCAAATGAAGAGAAAATAGATGTTTTAAATGATTATTTTGCTTCTATTACTTGTATTGACGATAGCGACGCTGTGTTACCGGATTTTTTTTCTGCTTGCAATAGCACATTTGAGACCATCTGTATTTGTGAACAAGAAATCATAGATATTATTTCAATTCTACCTGTAAATAAAGCAATAGGCCCAGACAATATTAGTCACAAGATGTTGAAATCCACAATGTATACTATTGTAAAACCGTTATGTTTATTGTTTAACAGGTCATTAGTTGATTGTATTTTTCCTTGTAAATGGAAAGTTGCTAATGTTCTCCCTTTATTTAAGAAAGATGATCCTTCTATTATGTCTAATTATAGACCTGTGTCATTGCTAAGTTGTATTGGTAAAGTAATGGAACGAATCATATTTAAACACTTGTATAATCACTTTCATGATAACAAACTTTTTTATAAATACCAAGCTGGATTTCTACCAGGTCACTCCACTGTATATCAATTAATTGAAACATATGATACTATTGTTAAAGCTATTGACAACGGTGAACATTGTTGCATGATATTTTGTGATCTTTCTAAAGCTTTTGATCGTGTATGGCATAAGGGTCTCTTGTTTAAACTCAAAACTCAGAACTTATGGTATAGAAGGAAATTTGTTTCAATGGTTAAAGAGTTACATAGAGGGTAGATCACAACGAGTTTTATACAGAAACTTATTATCTGACAAAAAACCTTTATATGCGGGTGTCCCTCAAGGCTCAGTGTTAGGACCTCTATTATTTCTTATATATGTAAATGATGTTGCCGAAGAAATGACAAGTTTTTGTAGACTATTTGCAGATGATAACTCCCTTCAGCAGTCATCTAAAAATGTCAATACTATCGAAAACAAACTGAATTATGATCTTAACAAGCTAGAAATTTGGTCGAAAAAATGGCTTCTTAAATTTAACTCTTCTAAAACTAAAGCAATATTTTTCAACTTGAGAGGAAGTGTTAATTATCCTAAACTCTTCTTCCAGCAAAATCAGCTAGAATTTGTCTCTTCGCATAAACATGATCTTAGTTGGTCTACACATATTGATACTATTCTAACTAATGCGTATAAAAAATTGGGCTTATTAAAAAAACTTAAATTTGTAGTAAATCGGAAAACTCTTTCACTCATGTACACAACCTTTATTAGGCCACAATTAGAATATGCTTCACTGGTGTGGGGTGGGTGTAATGTAGGTGATAGCGAAAAATTAGAAAAATTACAATTATGTGCTGCTAGAATTGTCACAGGCTTAACTCTGTTAGCTTCTAAAGATGCACTTTACTTTGAAACTGGATGGGAACCATTACATGAAAGAAGGAAAAATACTAGATTAACTACAATGTACAAAATTTATAATAATCAAGTTCCTGAGTATCTGACTGATATAATCCCAAATTTGCGTTGTAATTCATCAAGTTACAGTACGAGAAATTCACATAACTATAACATACCCAAATGCAGATTACAAACCTACAAGTCAACTTTCATTCCCCTTGTTATTGATGAATGGAACTCATTACCTCTTGTTGTAAGAAATTCTTCCTCATTATCTATTTTTAAAAAGTCTATTTCTTATAATAAAACTATGCCACCCTCTTACTTCAGTTACGGAAATCGACGCTTAAATATATTACATACAAGGCTTCGACACAACTGTGTACTTAATAGCGATCTTTTTCGATGTAATATAATCTCGAGTCCCTTATGTTCCTGTGGAAGAGTAGAGGACACCCATCATTATTTCTTCTCGTGCAAAAAATATACAGAAGCCAGAAAAGAATTTTTCGATAAATTTCTGCGAATGGGAAAATTACATACTGTCGATACTCATACATTACTCTGGGGAGATGAAAAGTTAAACAATGTTGAAAATGAATACTTATTTTCTATTGTACAAACATTTATTAAAAAGTCAGGTCGTTTTGGTTGATGCAATAATTACTTCTTGCAAATTCTATACAGCTTGTATATTGTATAATGTTTCTCTGATTATTATGCTTTTCTGTGTTTTATTCATTTTAAGCTGAAACCCATATATGTAAATATGTTTTGGTATAATTCATATGTAGGGAGAGGGCGTATTAAGTTTTAAGAACTTTTGCCCAATCCCAGTTGTAAAGTTTATAGACAATAAAATATGTTCAAACCACAAACCTGATTTAAATGCCACTATTCATCAGGACATGTGTAGTCTAGTGGTTAGCGTGCTAGTCTCGAGAGAAAATGATACTTAGGGTTTTAATTGCTATGGTTCGAACCCCTCAAATACCACATTAATAAAAGAATAAATTTTACCGAGAAAATTTTCCTCAGAAAAGTTTTGTTTATCATAGTTTCGTTAACTTCAATAATGAGAACTTTACTCTAAATACTAAATTCACAAACTGAACATGATTTTTATTTATCTGAAGCTATAGGCTTTCTGCACGCTATGTTCACTCACCTCCTTACACTTATTTTCGGTCGAGTTATGTCGATTATACTTGTACATATGTGTTTAGCGAGATGAAAATTTTTTTTTGCATTTTTACAGTTCTAATTAAAAGAGAATTTGTTACAATTACTATCAATCCCAACCATTCTATCTTTATGAAATCAAAATGTTTCTTTCGCCAAACTGAAAAAAACATCACAAATATCGCGTGTTATGGTGATATTTTCATGGATATTGTCATGCACAAGCCTGCTTTCAATGTCACACATCCTGTTTCGATATCATTTCAAGGAATCACTATCGTGTTATCAGAAAACAGGCATCAGACGACAGACGCGCTTTAGCGCGACTTATCCCCTTTACATCAATACATAATTAAACCCGTAGCAATTTTTTTTAGCCTCCTCCCCCCCCCCCCCCCAGAAAACCAAAATCATAATAAATAAATTGTATACCCAAACTAAAAATTCTTATCATTTCGTGTGTGTATTGGGGGTGGGGGTTAGGATCTTTCTCTTAATTTTCGGGGGTTTTGAACTGGGTCAACCCCCGACCCAACACCCTTTTCTGTACTACGGGCCTGTAAATACATTTATAGTTTCATGTAAAAGTATACAAAAACGTAAAGGGGACACATAGCGCGTCTCGCCCCTGTGATCAGTGTAACATAATTTTTATAGTCCGTCCAAGAATTTCTCATATTTGCAATTGTGTATCCACTATTTAACGCCTACGTACCTTACTTTAATGCTACACTAGTCCTCTTCCCTTCAAAACTAGCTCAGCCTACCTGATTAAAACAAAATACCTACCTTCTTAAATTGATTCACGTGTTACAGATAGAGCAAAATTGAAAAGTGAGATAATGTACGCTACTTTTTGCCCTGCATGTCTTTATAATATTATGTAATACAGCTCAGATAACGACCGGATACACACAGCCACCGATTTTCTGAATGCAATTAAAATACAACTATTTATCTGTACTCTTCATCAAGGTGCATGTGACCTGGCACCACAAACTCAACAAATAGTACATTCTATATCGTGAACTTACCTAGACGGTATATAACAGTAATTTTAATATCCTTTCTCTTTGTTTAAGTCATAAACTGTTGTCATGTTCACGTGATTTGTTAATAGGGCTTACTCTGAACTATGGAAGCCCATTGAAATGTCAAATGTCGAACCTGCTGGGACATTTCCGCAAATTTTTCTGGTTAGATTCGAGATACTATATTTAATTGTTTACATGTTCTATAAGAATTACAGTATGTATAACTTTAACTATTGTAGTCATTACAATCGATAGCATTAGAAAGTTCAGTCCAGGAAATTATATGTTGCCGTCATATTCATGCAGTCAATGAATGTTTAAAATTTACTTTCAGATAAATTAGTTAAATCTTTTAATGTTCGTGGAGTAACATTGTTAACCTCTGTAAGATGACGCCCTCCAGCGAGATAGAACTTAGCAACAGTCAACATTGCTTGTCGGCGGAGGAAATTACATGTTTATAAATACTGCATGTCACCACAAGAAAACCATTGCCAACCGAGGCGCAGCCTGTGCAGAATTTATGCGCGCAGGGTTCCCTGTGACATGTATACGTATTTGCATATAATCTCTCTCTCTCTCTCAATCTATCTCTCTCTCTATCTAACTATCTGCCTTTGTAAGATGACGCCCTCCAGCGAGATTAAAATATTTATACAAGTTCATTTTCATGAGTAGTGATAAACGGTAAACTACCGATAACCAAGTGTTCAATTGGTGTGAAATAAGGCTGTTACCTATCACCTTCATTGTTTGCCATTTTTAGGTCACCTGAGTCACTCAGTTGACCTATTGCTATCCGTTTTCGTCCGTTGTCGTCAGTCGTCCGTCGTGTGTTAACATTTGAATATTTTCAGCTTCTTCTCTGAAACCGCTGAACCAATTTTAGCATATTGCATCTATGGGTGAAGGGAAACAAACTTTGTGAATTTCATGGTCCCTGCCCCCCTGGGGCCTGAGGGGTGGGGCAAAAACCATTTGATAATCTTCTCCTCTGCTCCTGGGTATTTAGCAAATGAACTTAGTGCATAGTTATGACGAGGAAGAGTGCTTCTTCCAAAATTGTGAATTTCATGGCCCATGGGTCAGGGGTTCTGGTGTTAGGGCGGGGCTCTAATGATTATATTGTGAAAATGCATAAATTCTTTGAAAATCTTCTCCTCTGCTCCTGGGTATTTAGCAAATGAACTAAGTACATAGTTATGATGAGGAAGAGTGCCTCTTCCGAAATTGTGAATTTCATGGCCCTTGGGTCAGGGTTTCTGGTGTTAGGGCGGGGCTCTAATGATTATATAGTGAAAATGCATTAATTATTTCATTTATTTGAAAATCTTCTCTGCTCCTGGGTATTAAGCAAATTAACTAAGTACATAGTTATGATGAGGAAGAGTGCCTCTTTCAAAATTGTGAATTTCATGGCCCTTGAGTCATGGGTTCTCGCCCCGCCGTCACCAACATCCCTCAACTCAATACTCAGCCTCAACTCTGAGGTTTTCCCTCAAATATCTCACTTCACCCTCAAGTCACCGTCACCAAAAAAAAAAAAAAAAAATGAGGGATAATCTTGAGGAAATCCTCAAATATTTAAGGAGAGCTTCGTGGCAACCTTAAAGTCTTCCTCAAGCAAATTCAACATGGCAGATAGACATTGCAGGTGACGTAGGTTTCAGAGATACCGGAATCGACCGTCAAAAAGGGTGATAGGCCTACGAGACCGTCTGAACCCCTTAGAAGCCTACACGGACGATGAACTTTTCGAGCGTTATAGATTTCGACAGGCATCAGTCGTGTATTTACTGGACTTGATAGGTGGGACTTTGACGGAGAGCACATAAAAACAATGCCTTACCCCCGCTATTGCAGCTTTTTGTATGTCTCAGGTTCTTTGCGACAGGCGCCTACCACAAACTTATAGGTGATAGCATGAATGTGTCCGAGTCCACCGTCGGCAGATGCTGCAGATCGGTCACAAAATGCCTTACTTAGAGTTCGACAACAGTTCAATTTTTTTCCCAGAGACGAACAAGCACGGAAAACTAAGCAAGAGTTCATCAAAATAGCCGGTATGTTGTCTGTCGTGTTGTTTTCTTTTCTATTTTCTCTTTCAAAATTTAGGAAGGATAACTCGTTCTTCGATTTGGGCAATTTATATTCCGGGCATGTGCAGGCACGGGTTGGGGGAAGTTGTTGATCAATTTGCAGATAAAATTAGTTGAGTTGAATATTTTCAGCATTTAAAGAAGAAAAAAAATAGTTTATTATATACGTGAAATTTTTTCAGTTATGAACTTGTGGTTTTCTTTTAGTTGGAGGAGGAAGCTGTATTGTATACTGAATATAAATTAAAATCATACAGATTCACTTTTAGCCATTATTAAATTTATTTCTTTTCTGTTTTATCGAATAAATCCTATATAACTTTTCTGGAGCTCGCATCATACTGTTCACTGGAATCCATCTTTATTTACCGGTAAAATTTCGTTTTTTCTTTAAAAAAAAAAAAAAAAAAAAAAAAAAAAAAAAAAAAAAAAAAAAAAAAAAAAAAACAGAGAAACAAACAAAAACAAAATTTAAAAAATCAAAACAAAATATATTAGTGAATCAAAAACATTCATGAAGAATGAATTAATTGTGCTAATTATTCAGTAAATTCGTTAACTAAAGCCCCCCACCCAAAGTTTGCGCGTTAAGATTACCCCCCCCCCCACACACACACACACACACACCCACCCACCCACACACTGCGCATTAAGGGTGTCATATTTATTTCTGTACTTTGTGACTGATAACTTATCACGATCTGAAATTTCTACTTTGCAAAATATTTACATATATCGTTTTTCTTCAAAGCCCATGCAGATTTTTTATTCTTAATACACATTTTAAATTTCAAAGTCGTGTTTTTATTTTTTACATACATTGTAAGACTCTTCATTTTTAAATGTAACTTGAAATATTACAAATGTATAACAAATTCACACAGGATTCCCGAACACACTAGGCTGCGTTGATGGAACGTTTATTAAAATCGTGGCTCCAACTGAAAATGAACCGGATTTCGTAAATAGAAAGGGGTTTCATTCTTTGAATGTACAGGTCAGTATTTTATTTCTCTTTTCTTTGCTATTTCATCTCATATCAAATGCTTCAAGTGTTGAAGTTAAGATCTGGAAGATATTTAATATCCATGTCAATATTTTAACTTTAACTTTGCAGCATTATATGCAACTTATCAGTCACCTTAAAAAGTTTGGGTTTCATTTCAATTTTGAATAAATGGTTTGTGATGCCAACTTCAAATTCACGAGTGTGTGTGCCAGCTGGCCCGGTAGTGTCCATGATAGCAGGATTTGGCCGGAATCATCTCTTTGTCGACAATTTGAAAGAGGTAAACAACTTTATTTTTTCGTAAAAATTGGATCGAGTTGTCATTTGATAGAGGAATTGAAATATATTAAAAGCATTAAAATCATAATGTTGAAGGTTATAATTCTGTAACATTGTACGTTTAGGTGAACACAACGGCATTTTGTTGGGCGATTCTGGATACCCATTAGGCGTTTTTTTAATGACGCCATACCTCAACCCACAGACAAACGCTCACCAACGATTTAATGCATCTCTGTGTCGAACCAGAGTTCTCATTGAGCAAAGTTTTGGCATTCTGAAACGGAGGTTTTCCTGTCTCCAAGGAACTCTGAGGCAAAGAAGCTTACATAATATACATGACATCTATGCTAAAATAACTTCTATTGCTATATTCAGTAAATAGTAATCTCTATATTTTCTGTATAGATAAAACGTCTAATTAATTGGTATTAGCTCCTCCGAAAAATATTGAAGGCCATCCCTTGGGGGCTAACATAATCAATGTTGCCCTCAACCCAAGTCAATATTTGTATATTGTTATGTAAAAATAAATATAAATACATTGTATTTTTTTTAGAACGACTCCGGAACAGGCAGTAGCATACGTCGTCGCTTGCGTCATTCCTCATAATCTTGGGATTCAAACTGGTGATGTGTTGGACAGATTGGACCATCCAGTGGACGCATTTGACCTGACCGCACACCAAGTTGTGTGCAATTCTCTTGAGGGAAGTCACTTGCGAGATTATATCGCACAGACGTATTTCGGGTAGAGGTACGTACATCTACATATGTACTTCATATTTTTGAATTCATAATACCGAAGATCACTCAACTAGTTTCATTTAAAATATGTGTATACATTGATTCAACCAGTACTATATGATAAATTATAACAATCACTGTAATGATAAACATATTTTTCTATTTCAGGTCAATTTCAGGTCGTTGAAGGAGTTTATAGTTACCTGTGAAACAGAATTTCATTTGAAATATTAACTTATTATTAAAAAAAAATAAATATGTCACATTTACTGCTCCCAAATCAAGAGTTTGTGATCTATTCATCTATTCAAAGGTAGTCGGTCATTGACACACTGGGTTTATGATGAATTCCGGAAATTCAGAACTTAATTTACATAATAGGTATGACTTCTTAATTTCTAATAATTCAACCTCTGTTTTCAATTTCTTCTCCTCCAATTCTAATTTCTTCTGTTCTTGGCCAAGCTTCTTTATTTCCTGCGTCAGCTTCTCATTTTCAAGTTTAATATTTTTAATTTCCAGTTCCTCAATGATTTCCCGTGTTGTCATCTTTCTCTTCTTTTCCTTAGGTCGTCCATCTAAATATAAAATATCAACATACTTGCATATATAAAATTTTATTTATTTATTTAATTATTTTTATTTTTTTAACTGATTAATTGTAATAAAAAATAAAGTCTCTTACCCGTATTTTTATTAAACGATAAACTTAAACCAAAAACTATGTACTTAATTCAGTTGCTTAATACCCAGGAACAGAGTAGAAGATTTTCAAAGAATTAATGCATTTTCACTATATAATCAATGGAACCCTACCCTAACACCAGAACCCTTGACCCAGGGGCCATGAATTTCAAATGAACTAAGTACATAGTTATGATGAGGAAGAGTGCCTCTTCCAAAATTGTGAATTTCATGGCCCTTGGGTCAGGGGTTCGGGTAAAGGGGGGGGGGGCTTTTTTATTATATACTGAAAATAAATTAATGCTTTGAAAATCTTCTCCTCTGTCCCTTGGTATTAAGCAAACAAACTTCTGGCCCCTGGGTCAGGGTTCTGGTGCTAGGGCGGGGCTCTAATGATTATATAGTGAAAATGCATTAATTCTTCGAAAATCTTCTCCTCTGCTCCTGGGTATTTAGCAAATGAACTAAGTATATAGTTCTAATGAGAAAGGGTGCCTCTTCCAAAATTGTGAATTTCATGGCCCCAGGGTCAGGGGTTCTTGTGCTTGGATGGGAGTCTATTGATTAATTAGCAAAAATGCATTAATACTTTGAAAATCTTCTCCTCTACCCCTGAGTACTAAGCAAACAAACTAAATGCAATAATATCAATGTAAATGTATTAAATAAAATTATGAGTAAATGTGCCTTTTCTTTACTCCTGGGTATCTAGGAGGCAAACAGAGTACACAGTTGTAATAAATGAAGCAAATGAGAGTTACTCCCCTTTGCTAGATGTTGTTAATCAAGAAATCCATGTGTATAATTTAATTAACAGGTTATTTGATTGTATGAGAATACAAGAAAGAATGTTATATATTTAGAAACAAAATAAATTTCAAAAATCTGGTAAAAATACCCTTGCTTATTGTAACGTGTTAGACCCGAGTGATCTCCTTTGGATCATACTTGATTTTCCCAAGTCTTACAGGGATGATAATGAATGCAAAATATACAAATACAATGAACACTTGCCTATTGTGTAAGATATTCAATATATACAGATATGTTTTTGTCACTTGCCTAGTGATACAATTCAGTACACACAGACTTGAATATACAATTTGCCACTTGTCACAAATTACAATAAGTCACACTGACTATGATTTTTTATTCACTTTGATAAAGTATAAAACAACTTTGTCCAGCCTCTTGTCAACCATGACTCTACCAGTGACAATAATGCATTTTCTGTCAAACAGAACACCACAGTGTAAACATACTATGTACAATTACACCTTTTGCTAAATATATAAATAATCCTTATGTCAATCTTTTATATTGCTTTCCAGGCAAGAATCTGACTTTGTTTGTTTGTTGTTTAACGTCCCTCTCAAGAATTTTTCACTCATATTGAGACGCCACAACTTGCCGATGAAGAGCTGCAAATTTTGACCTAAACTCGGCACTTAGGGCCATTGAGTAGTGAGGGATCTTTTTCGTGCCAGCACCTACTGCGACACGGGACCTTGGTTTATACGGTCTCATCCGAAGTACGGGTCTCCACGTCCCACAGTGGGATTCGAACCCGCAATCTGACTTTGAGAATGCTTTGCTCATTAAAACCAAACATTCATTTTCTTAGGCAACATTGCTTCATCTATTAGTTAATTTTTGTTTTATACTTCTGTGGATCCTTTACAGTGTTGTATTATACTCAGGTGACCGTTAAGGCCCTTGGGCCTCTTGTTACAAATGACTTAGTGCATGAAATCAACAGTCAAGATCTCGGAGTAACCATAGGTTTAACCAATATTTCAATTTTTACTTTATGCAGATGACAGAGTTCTCGTTGCAGACAAAGAGGAAAACCTACAACATATGTAAGATACTCTTCAAGACCGGTGTAGGCGATAGAGAGTCCTTATTAAGGAAGCTCAATGCACCCACAGTTTATTTCACATTTCATTACAGCACCACTTCTTATATAGATTTCAAATATCAAAATGATAATTACGATTTGAGGGTTTATTTTAGTGATTTTTTCAAAATTATTATTATTCTGATTTTGGTTACCGGTATACAAAGAGTAAATGCTACACTTAAATTTTTATATAGAAATACATTTTGTCTTAGTACACAGTCTAGAAAGTCCCTATGTTCCGATTTTATACAATGTAACTTTGACTATACCTGTTCTCCTTGAGATTGTGGAATAAAAAAGCAACTTAATTAAACATAGATTACAAGTCATAAGGAACAAATTAGTAAGGTTCATTTTAAACCTTGGTCCCAGAGAGAGTATTTCTTGTAACATTCTAGACTCTATGAATATGTTAAAAGTTGAAGATTAAACCATGTATTTAATATATATTATGTACAAGAAGTGCAATGCAATATAGAGATAACGAATGGGAATCAAGCTTAAAAGTCTATTGAAACAAAATAAATCGGGAGCAGAGCAAATATGGACTTCTAAAAACATCAGAGGTGGGATCAGGTGCCATGGAGGAGTAAGCATCCCCTGTCGACCTGTTACATCCGTCGTGTGCTTGTCGTCATGATCGGGCAAACGGAAAAATTCCGTAGACAATTTAGTGTGTTTAATTATGGCCTAATAATTAGTACGAAAAACGTCAGTCAGCATTCGACTTAATGATAGATTATATTTGCTGAGAAGGTCATTGTATCGACCATAGAACTTGAAAAATTATGAATTTAAACGAGACTGTTGATATTCTTGTTTCATCAACTTGTTTTTCAATAGCTTTCCTCGTTTTAGAAATTGTTCGTACATTGCGCATGCTCTTGCGTATCGAATCATCTGGGAGATATAAACTCCATATGCAGGTGATAAAGGTATATTGCTACATAAGTAAGGGAAGTTGATAGAAAAGTTGAAGATATCACGTTTATCATAAAGTTTTATTGTTAGGTTACATGTACCAATAACGTCTTTTTCTCGTAAAATATCCAAATATGAAATAGATGTGTCAATCTTTTGGTATCTTTTATTTCAAGTTCACTGGGATATATCGAGTTGATATATGAATGGAAGTAACTATTGTTAATTGATATTACGTCGTCTATATATCTAAAAGTCGAGTTAAAGGCCACAGCAAGTGTTTTCTTCTTCTCATGTGTAAGTTTTTGAATAAATTCTGCTTCATATGAATATAAAAATAGGTCTGCTAATAACGGGGCGGAATTGGTACCCATAGAAATTCCGATAGATTGTTGGAAGACCTGATCTCCAAAAACTACATGAATACTGTCAATCAAAAACTCATTTTGCATTTTGTTCCACTTCACTGATTTTTTGCGGAATTACAGCCCTTTCAACTTTAAGCATTTTGTTTCTAAACGCATCAAATATTGAGCTGATTTTTGGTACGTGAGTTTACCTTGATGAGTTATAGATCAAATTAACATTTTGTTCTGCTTCAATGATTTTTTATGGAATTATCATTTTCAATTTTTATAGGAACTAGATTACACTTGCCGGTTGGTGACTAGTATTGCTAATGCAATACTCTCAGAATGTTTGTTTCACTGTACTTTAAATCAACATGAAAATTAATATTGTATTAACTATTGGGATCCAAAATATTTGATGGTGGGTCAAAGTGTATTGTTTACTTTCATGAAAGAATTCAAAGTGAAATATAAAGATTAAATTAAGATCCGATCTTGAGAGAAGTGGATCATCAATCACATGGAGTCAGAAATCATATGAAATATGGATACCAGAATGAACTATGATAAAACGAAGCATTTCCCTTAATTACACACATCATAGATATCGAGTAGTATTACATTTTCAACAGTGAAATACTGTAATTTATTTACTGAATAAGAGTGATATTCTGACACAGTGTGAAAGGATATCAAAATGGTATTCTCCCAGTGTGAGAATATCAGAAGTGCGGCAAAACTTACGATTTTTTACGAAAAGACAGAGGCAAAGGGAAAATCTGAGAAAATGTAATAAACAGAAAATTCAATGTTTTGTAGATGAATATGGAATTTATTTCACTCGTGGGATAGGATTTTTTTTTTATATTTTCACTCGTGCTTCGCACTCGTGGAAATTCCATATTCATCTACAAAACATTGAATATCCTCTATGTATTGAATATACAGTTTCATCGAGCGTGGAAATCGAGGTAGCGGAGCGTCCCATATTTCAACGCTCCATGAAAACACGAGAATTCTATGATGTAAGCAACTTGTCACATATCTGATGACGCTTGTGCCAGGAGTTAAAATTTAGTCATTTTAGAAGTTGCAGTCGCACAGATAGCACGTTATGGAATTAAATAAGGTCGAATTCTTAACACATTTC